TTGTTTTTTTTTTTATATATATAAAATATAGCATTGTTCAAATATAATATAGATCTACATCTAGTAAACTAAAATAATTATTAATAGAAAGTTGATACTGTTTCATTTAATTTGTAATCGTAATCAAACTGTCAAAATACTACCACTTCATCGTGCTGATGTCGATGACCTTGTCAAAATTTCCCCACCGCTACGCAGTTCGACCATAAGTAAATTTAAATAGAGGTGCCACATTAGTTGTATTTGTGTCTGTATTGTAATTTTAAAAAATAAATTACACGATTTAAACTGTATATATATAAAGTAATTATGATTGAAGTTTTACATGTAACATGTGCCGACCAAAGATAAGTTTTTAACAAATATCAATGTTTAAAACTTTGAGTTTAAAAAGTTTCCAAAAAGGCGCCACTTTGCTAAAAATGGCCAGAGGGGGAGCGGCTGCTCCCCCTGCTCTACCCCTGCGTACGCTACTGGTGATGACCAATGACGAACGCAGGTCAAGAATTGACAAAATGAGATTAAATTCTAAGACGAACTGGACTTGAACCTTCTCGTCAAGTTGCTTGTGTTACTCGTGGCAATGGCAAGTCAGACCAACACGTTTTTCGTTAAAGTATCCACAGCCACACAACACCCTAAAACTGAGCACATCTAATAAATGCTGCCACAATATCGTGAGCACTCCATGACTGTCCGTTAGCTTGCACGTGTAAAAATTGAGCTGGACGCCTGCCCATCTGTGCTGATTAGTTTTTTATGTCCGAGGTTTACAACGTTTTAATAGAGGGCGGGCAACAGCAGCCCATGATAGAAGGCCTTTGTGATCTAACTCATGTACCGTTTGATGCTGGTTATCTCACTTGTTCACTAGCTGGCCTCATCTCTCTGAGAGTTCCCTTTCTTTCAATCGGGTTGGAAACAAACATGGAGTTATCCTTCCTGCAAGATGGCGGCATAAAAACTGTGAAGTTGTTTGTGATAGAAGAAATGTGTTCCATACATTAATTCATTAAAAAAGACAAGGGCCAGATTATATATATATATATATATATATATATATATATATATATATATATATATATATATATATATATATATATATATACATATATATATACATATACATATATATATATATATAAATTTTTATGTAATTTTATGTATATTTATATATATAGTGGGGCCACACAAAGCTGAGTAACGGGACACCACTGTGAGTGGCCAGTTGTACAATAGAACAACGGCTCCTGATGTTTGTAAACACGGGGAGGTTAACTTGACCTCCCGGAGACTGGGCATGACAGAGGTCTATTGATAGTATAGCGTGGAGGGTGGGGCTGCTGAGTTATCACGTTGTTGATGTGGGGGGGGGGGGGGTGTTGGTTCCTTACATTCCTAATTGGTGTATCGTGTTCCAGCCATCATAGACTGTAGGCGCTTGTACGCTCTGGCATGTAGACAACTTATGGACACACCCACACATACACATAAACTGTAGCGTGTAGACAACTCACAAACCCACCCACACACCTATACAAACCCACTTACACACACACACTCTAATTAACGTACCACACACCCATATTCTTACATTCGTAGATAATCTTTATTCAGTAGCTTACACAAGTCCATTCCAATACGTGTATGTGTATTCGTGAATCTGTGTGTGTGTTTGTGTCTGATACTTAATAATGTGTTCAAATGGGTTGTATAAACGGAGGGCGGGGGTAAGATATGGAGGGTGGGGTTTATATATGGAGGGTGGGGTTTATATATGGAGGGTGGGGGTAAGATATGGAGTGTGGGGGTAAGATATGGAGGGTGGGGGTAAAATATGGAGGGTGGGGTAAGATATGGAGGGTAGGGTTTATATATGGAGGGTGGGGGTAAGATATGAAGGGTGGGGTAAGATATGGAGGGTGGGGGTAAGATATGGAGGGTGGGGGTAAGATATGGAGGGTGGGGGTAAAATATGGAGGGTGGGGTAAGATATGGAGGGTAGGGTTTATATATGGAGGGTGGGGGTAAGATATGAAGAGTGGGGTAAGATATGGGGAGTGGGGGTAAGATATGGAGGGTGGGGTAAGATATGGAAGATGGGGGTTAGATATGGAGGGTGGGGGTTAGATATGGAGGGTGGGGGTAAACAGGGAGTGTGAGTTGATATTTTTTAATATTGTATAATGACATAAGATTGGTTTAGTCGGACACGATTAAGCGTTAATCTTGTCAAATGCTAATCTTGTCAAATGTTAATCTTGTCAAATCCAATAGCTTTTATATCACATTGTTAACCATCGTCCATTAGAGACCCACCAAACAAGGTAGAGTTGGAGACAAGATGGAACAACTCTGCGCGCACCAGTAAGGGGAGATCAGTCTTATCCGACAGTCAAATAAACGCTATTCAATTCTCCTATGTCGCCCCCTACCCTGTGGAGAAATAAACAGCGGATCACCTTTGACCTCTCGTCTTTGTTTTTGGAGGCAACAAACTATTTCTAAGCCCTCATTGACATTCTTGATCGTTCTCAGTGGTCTCTGTGTTGTGGTCTCAGTGGTCTCTGTGTTGTGGTCTCAGTGGTCTCTGTGTTGTGGTCTCAGTGGTCTCTGTGTTGTGGTCACAGTGGTCTCTGTGTTGTGGTCTCAGTGGTTTCAGTGTTGTGGTCTCAGTGGTCTTTGTGTTGTGGTCTCAGTGGTCTCTGTGTTGTGGTCTCAGTGGTCTCTGTGTTGTGGTCTCAGTGGTCTGTGTTGTGGTCCACACAAAGGCAGTGGTCCTCAAAATGTTGTCCACAGAAAGACGGTGGTCCACAGTTGTCCTCTTATTGTGGTCCTTGAAATGTGGTCCACACAGACAGTGGTCCACACAGACAGTGGTCTGGTCCTCTGGTCCACACAGATAGTGGTCCTTAAACTGTGGTCCACAGGAAGGCTGTGGTCCTTACATTATGCTGTACTAAATATTGTAAATCTTACCCGGTACTTGCTAAACTAGCGTTCCATATCGCATCTGCTGTGTAGATGTAGGTACTTACAACATTTCAGGACAGCGAAACAGAAACATTGAACTACACACTAAGCAACTATTCTCCTTGGTTCTTACAACATTTCAGGACAGATAAACAGAAACACCGAGTTAGAAGTGTGGGTCCACACACTAAGAAACTATTCTCCTTGGCTTAATGCTGATGTACCGCTTTCTGTACGTTTAGAACCACCTCAGATATTGGTGGTTGGCCAACTTTTGCTTTGAAAGGTTGTATGCCGGGCAGCTTCGGGTGGCACCACAAAGGACGTGGCCTATAAGTTTGTAGACACAAGTCATAAACAGTCATGACACAAGTTCACTGACCGGAGCAATCAAAATAACTCACATAACTCACCGAGAAGTTGTTCGCACCTTCTGACGGCGTGGTGTGTATCGAAATAAATGGTCAGAAATAGTGAGCTGATAAGAGTTGGAACACTAAACATGTGAGGGACCTTAGCTGACCAACTGACCTAATGACCAACTGCCATACTGACCAATTGACTCACTGAACAACAGACCAACTGACTAATTACCTGCTGCCTAACTGACCAATGGACTAACACACCAAGAGACCTACTGCCTGACGAACAGATATGCTGAGCAGGACTCGCCACTAAACCTCAAGACACGTTCTCCCTCCCATGCTGACCACTAAACCTCAAGACACGTTCTCCCTCCCATGCTGACCACTAAACCTCAAGGCACGGTCTCCTTCCCATGCTGACCACTAAACCTCAAGACACGTTCTCCCTCCCATGCTGACCACTAAACCTCAAGACACGGTCTCCTTCCCATGCTGACCACTAAACCTCAAGACACGGTCTCCTTCCCATGCTGACCACTAAACCTCAAGACACGGTCTCCTTCCCATGCTGACCACTAAACATCAAGACACGGTATCCCTCCCATGCTGACCACTAAACCTCAAGACACGGTCTCCTTCCCATGCTGACCACTAAACCTCAAGGCACGGTCTCCGTCTCATGCTGACCACTAAACCTCAAGGCACGGTCTCCGTCCCATGCTGACCACTAAACCTCAAGACACGGTCTCCGTCCCATGCTGACCACTAAACCTCAAGGGACGGAATCCCTCCCATGCTGACCACTGCAGCATCAACTAGTGCGTTCTGCGCATGTCTAGCAGACTTGTCTAGGAGTGCCAGTTATGTAGGCGGGTATCTGTCTGCAGATCTCACTGTGGCACACGTCTGCTAGTGCACGTGTACAGATCAACTTTTTTTTCTGTGACTTGTAATTGAAACAATCTCCGGACCAATCAAACAGCTGGAAAAAAATCACGTGATCTGATTGTTGGATAGCTTCACGCCAAGGGTAGATAACCCAAATGTACATGACGTTTTTATTCAAGCCAATTCTGATTCACCACATTCTTCCCTACCTACCGGGCGGGGCGGGGTTCACTGGGGAAAAATGTTTGCAGAGGCGTAGCGACCCCTCCCGGCGCCAGGGGACACACTTTCAATTTGGCGCCCCCCCCCCCATGTATTTTTTGTATTTATAATTCAAAATAGCAGCTAAAATGAGCTTATTTTGGCGCCCCTAGGGTCGGCGCCCGAGGATATATGTACCCCCCCCCCCCCGTCGCTACGCCTCTAAATGTTTGCTATATTTGTTTGAAACAATGTCACCAACCTTTAGTCTTGCTAGTTCCATCGGGTTTCTAGATTCTAAGAAAAAAAATACACATTTAATAGCTCTTTATTTAAAATATTAATTTTTATCTCTGTCATTAGTCGTACTCAGCATTCAGAGCAATAGCTTACAGTAAAATGTTACCTATGATTTTAATTTAAAAAATTGTATAACGAGTCCATATCTGCTACAAAAAATGAAGTAGTTAACAGAAGTTTTTTTTTTATTATCTAAAGTTGTTTTAAAGCTTGTAATAGACACATCCAGTGTCGAGGAAGGTCTTGCTTACAACTGGAGACTTCACTGACTTCAGTACACACGAACCTATTTTTGTTGACCGGAAATAGCCGCAGACGTACGAAGTATGGCGCTGGTTTCCTTAGTCTTGACTCTAGCTTCAGTTGCGTCTGGTGTATGGGGTATGTGTCTCCTTCTTTTTTTGTCTACACTATCTTAATTGTAAATTATCTATTAGTCAATATATTTTTAATTATATGAATCTTAAATAATTATTGAAATTTTTTTTTAAATGAATTAATTATTAAGCAACCTTTTTTTTTGCTAACAAAGGGAAATAACACAACTTATGTTTTCGGTTTTTAAGCCTAGTTAAGGGAGATAACTAAAATAAAAAAAATGTTTTAAGAAGAATGTTGTTCTGTTTGATTCCCACTCCAGCCGTTGATTACGGCTGTCCACCGGATGTGCCAGCTGACCAATACCTGCAAGTCTTTGGCGACTTCTGCTACCAGTTTGTCTTCCACCTGTACCGCGACTACCCGACCGCCGCAGCCGAATGCCAGAGACACGGCGGGACCTTGGCCTTGGTCAAGTCACGTGACGTGCAGAGCTACCTGGAGAGCCAGACGTTGAGCACCTACTACACGCGCGGGCAGGTGTGGATCGGGCTGAGTAACATGCACGACCCGAACAGATTTCTCTGGGAGGACGGCTCAAATCTTGACTACAGCAACTGGGCCACGGGACACGGCGCGCTGCCCCAGCCCACCCCCCGCTGCGTGGCCATGTACCCCGGGGACGGCGGCAAGTGGTACGACGCCCTGTGCATGTCCGCCACACCAGAGGGCGCGGGGGCTGTCATCAAGCCGTTCATCTGTCAGTACCGGCGCTACAGCAGCGCCCCTGCGGCTTCAGCGACCAGCGACCTGACGCCCCAACCTGACACCACAGTCGCCACCATCACCAACCCCTGCCCACCCTTCAGCTGTGACCTTGACTGTGGTATGGCTGGTTTTGCTAAAGATATGGATACCGGGTGTTCATTATGCCAGTGTATTTTGAAATAATTAAAAAAAAAATCTCGTTTCCAGATAATTTTTAAAAATTCTTTATTTTACTTAATTGAGAGTCAGCGAGTGCATATGTTTTGTAAGCATGAATAAGGTCCCAGTTGTACACAGTAATTTAATGTGACTAGCTAGCTAGATTTGTACACAATATATTGACTGTTAGCTAGAGGTGTACACACTATTGTGACTATGTTAGCTAGAGGTGTACACAATATTATGACTATGTTAGTTAGCTAGAGATGTACACAATATTGTGACTATGTTAGCTAGAGATTTACACACTTTTGTGACTATGTTAACTAGAGGTGTACACAATATTGAGATATTGTTAGCTAGACTTGTACACAATATTGTGACTATGTTAGCTAGAGATGTACACAGTATATTGACTATGTTAGCTAGAGGTGTACACACTATTGTGACTATGTTAGCTAGAGGTGTACACACTATTGTGACTATGTTAGCTAGAGATGTACACAATATTGTGACTATGTTAGCTAGAGGTGTACACAATATTGTGACTATGTTAGCTAGAGGTGTACACAGTATATTGACTATGTTAGCTAGAGGTGTACACAGTATATTGACTATGTTAGCTAGAGGTGTACACAGTATATTGACTATGTTAGCTAGAGGTGTACACAGTATATTGACTATGTTAGCTAGAGATGTACACAGTATATTGACTATGTTAGCTAGAGGTGTACACAATATTGTGGCTATGTTAGCTAGAGGTGTACACAATATTGTGGCTATGTTAGCTAGAGATGTACAAGATAAAAATTTCCTTCCGGTGAGTAAAGTAAAACTAATCTAAAGATGTTTATCTGAGAAAAATATCTTGTCGCACTTATCTGGCAGATCGTGCTTGTTTGGATGAGATCGTGTTGGTGCCATCTGCTGACTTCTCTAGGACGTCAGCAAAGTATTAACCAGAATATATGTTTCTACTGTTTTCTTTCAAACTGTGTGTGTGTGTGTATATTTAAGAATCTGTACATGTATATGTATATATGTGAGAGTGCGCGTGTGTGTGTATGTTTGTATGTGAAAGACAACAGGTGAAGATTTCACATGTCAAAGATTAAAATGACAAGTTCACAAGTCAAAGATTAAAATGACAAGTTCACATTCTGTCCGCTGAATGTGTCACATTTTAGAGTTGATGGTAGAGATGGAGGCAGGCATGCTTTAGGTCACGTGATTTTAGCTACAGCTAGACTTCATGGCTAAAGTGGATACAGCTAGACTTTATGGTTAAAGTGGATACAGCTAGATTTAATGGTTAAAATTGATACAGCTAGATTTAATGGTTAAAATTGATACAGCTAGACATAATGGTTAAGTGGATACAACGAGACTTAATGGTTAAAGTGGATACAGCAAATAGTGGATACAGCTAGACTTTACGGTTAAAGTGGATACAGCTAGACTTAATGGTTGAAGTTGATACAGCTGTAATTAATGGTTAAGATTTATACAGCTAGACTTAATGGTTGAAGTTGATACAGCTATACTTAATGGTTAAAATGGAGACAGCTAGACTTAATGGTTAGAGTGGATACAGCTAGACTTAATGGTTAAAACTATACACTGCTCACTCAATGATATTGTTTTCCTTATTTCAGCTGTTTTTTTTTTGTATTTTGCAGTAGTGTGTGCATTTATAGGTGTATATAACTTTATTTAAGGCGTCATTATAGTATTGTTTGCTCTAGCAATAGATTTATTGTAAATTTCTCGAACTGATTAAGTTTTCTATAGTAGTTTACAACGAACCTGGGGAAAGGATCTCTATGTGAAAGGTGTGCTGTCACTAGTGTTTATGCTTGAGCAAAAAAATGGTTTGGCCGGAAAAACGTTAATACCTCTAATAACTGACTAGCCTCTGTTTTCATTATATACCTCTAATAACTGGCTATTCTGTCTCTACGATCTACATCTAATAACTGACTAGCTTGTTATTCACTCGTAATCCAGGTTACAGGTCAAGTTGTTTTCTCGTAGTCAAGGTTACAGGTCAAGTTGTTTACTCGTAGTCCAGGTTACAGGTCAAGTTGTTCACTCGTAGTTAAGTTAAAGGTCAAGTTGTACACTCGTAGTCCAGGTTACAGGTCAAGTTGTTCACTCGTAGTCCAGGTTACAGGTCAAGTTGTTCACTCGTAGTCCAGGTTACAGGTCAAGTTGTTCACTCGTAGTCCAGGTTACAGGTCAAGTTGTTCACTCGTAGTCTAGTCCAGGTTACAGGTCAAGTTGTTCGCTCCTAGTCCAGGTTACAGGTCAAGTTGTTCACTCGTAGTCCAGGTTACAGGTCAAGTTGTCCACTCGTAGTCCAGGTTACAGGTCAAGTTGTCCACTCGTAGTCCAGGTTACAGGTCAAGTTGTCCACTCGTAGTCCAGGTTACAGGTCAAGTTGTCCACTCGTAGTCTAGTCCAGGTTACAGGTCAAGTTGTCCACTCGTAGTCCAGGTTACAGGTCAAGTTGTTCACTCGTAGTCTAGTCCAGGTTACAGGTCAAGTTGTCCACTCGTAGTCTAGTCCAGGTTACAGGTCAAGTTGTTCACTCGTAGTCTAGTCCAGGTTACAGGTCAAGTTGTCCACTCGTAGTCCAGGTTACAGGTCAAGTTGTCCACTCGTAGTCCAGGTTACAGGTCAAGTTGTTCACTCGTAGTCTAGTCCAGGTTACAGGTCAAGTTGTTCACTCGTAGTCTAGTCCAGGTTACAGGTCAAGTTGTCCACTCGTAGTCCAGGTTACAGGTCAAGTTGTCCACTCGTAGTCCAGGTTACAGGTCAAGTTGTCCACTCGTAGTCTAGTCCAGGTTACAGGTCAAGTTGTTCACTCGTAGTCTAGTCCAGGTTACAGGTCAAGTTGTCCACTCGTAGTCCAGGTTACAGGTCAAGTTGTCCACTCGTAGTCCAGGTTACAGGTCAAGTTGTCCACTCGTAGTCTAGGTTACAGGTCAAGTTGTTCACTCGTAGTCCAGGTTACAGGTCAAGTTGTCCACTCGTAGTCTAGTCCAGGTTAGCAACCTCCCACCCTACACAAGATCCCCGGGGGTCTAGATCACGTACAGAACCTTTACCCCTCCTCCTTATTGTCCCACAATAACAGATGCTCGGGGGTGTTTCCTTGAGAAAACGCAGGCAATCGCCGGTTTAACAAATTTTCCAGTAAACTAAAATAAATCCTTAGAGGTCCTAAATTGTATGCTACACTAAATTAATGACATTCTCAAAACATGTTCACAACAAAAAGTAACAACTTGAGAGTTAAAAACAGCAATGCATATTTATTCTCACATCATTCAGTCTAGCAAAAAACATTTAACAAAGTTCATAAAAAGTTGAGCGTCAGTCTCGCGAGCGTTTCACTTAAGCGCTGGCGATGGGGTACTGGCAGACGTAGCCGTGTTCCTCCACGTCGGTCCACAGGATGTAGTTGGCGCTCTCGCAGGGGTACTCGGCCCACTTGCCGCCGTAGCCGACGTCCAGGAGGACACAGTCGTTGTGTTCGTGGTTGAAAATATGGGACAGGGAGCCACCGGTGGGGCCTTCACCGTCATCCCAGTTGCTGTATGTCAGGGGGGTGCCGTCCTCCCATTTGAAGGTGTTCTCAGTCTCCAGATCGTTGAGGCCGATCCAGATGAGGTTGTAGCTCAGGTGGTAGGTGTTCCTCAGCTCGGTGTAGATGTAGTTCTGGATCTCCGCGCTCTTGATCAGCACCAGGGTGCCGCTGTTCTTCTCGCAGTCGGCCTTGGCCGCGGTGTGCGTCACGCGCTTGGCCACGTTGAACTGGTAGCACGTGCCGTTGACAGCCTGGAGGGTGTTGTCTTGGGTCAATGCCGCGGGGCAGCCGGCGGCAGTTGTCTGGGCAGCGCCTAGAAGTTTGGGGAGGGGGATAAATATATCGACGTTAGAGGGTTAATTTCAATTACTAGAATCAAAAGAATGTATGTAGTTTTACAAGACAGATCATTTCTTTAGAAACACTTTCTACGACTTTGTTACAATGTAATCATGACAAGAGATTCTTCATGAAACGTAATGAAAAGTTCATCCGTACACACATTTAATCACACTTTGTAGTGAAATTTCAACGCACTGTTTGAAAACATGCCGGAAGTAGAGTGTAAGATTTACGAAATCTATGACAGACGTAGCAACAGTGAGGTTTATGCCATAAGTAACCAGAAAAAACATATAGTGTCAGGATCATCACAGGTTTAAGTACAGCGAATGTTTCGACCAAGGTCTTCGTCAGCTCACAATAGATTGGTTAGAAACAAAAAGACAAACAGTGACACTATATTGGACAGCTCGACAGTGAAGACACGCCTAGTCAAAGACCACGATAACTAAATGAAGAGACAGAGTAGGCGTGGACAGTGTATTGAGAGTAAAAAGATGTAAAACTGTTGGTTGATGTTTAGAGAAGCAGCAATTTACGCTACAAGAACTCTTCAAACTTATTTTGGGTAAAATAACACGTACACAATATATAATGTTTAAATACGAATACTTGATGAACAAACACAAAAGATTAAAAAAAAACCAGATCAGCACATAAGACATTAAAATCTGCACGTGAACACAACAAAAGATGTGAGATGTAGAGCAAGTAGAGCAGACGAATTCTCCTTACCCAGGCCAACACAGAGAGCAGCGAGGAATAGAGCAGGCAGCATCGTGTGAGGTTCCCTTGTCAGAGATGGATGGCGTCAATGAACTCCGATCCTTTTATGGTGGCTCCAAGTTTGACTCAGCTATTGTTTATCTGTGGGCTGACCTCTGACGTGGAGCGCAGATAACAAGAGTTCAGTTCCCTTATCTTTCCAAACAAGAGTTCGGTCCCCTTATATTTATCGCACTCTTCTATTAAGTGGAGCAGGTTTAAGTGAATTACTGATTTAATTTTTTGTCCAACGTTTTGTACACTACTAACATGTCGCTGTAGGTTTTTCCCTGCTGGTCAGCATGACACAGCAGCGTGGTAGAGTTCAACCAATAATTAGCATCAGCAAAATTAGAAAGAAAAAAAAAACTGAAATACAAAAATCTTTAGAAAGCTTTTAAATACATTGTAAACTTTAAAAACTAGTAAAAGCGTTGGTCGCTCAAGAGATCTATTACATATTTACGCGAGTTACCTGTCCTTACTTATTCTAGCTCGTGGTCGACGCTCAGGTCGACAGTTTTCGCTATTTTACACCTCTCTACTTTATCGAATACGGAATGTAAGAATATATTGTAATCGTGCAAAAATTCTCATACGAGATTTTGACAAATGTCGACGTTTTACATCCTTCCGGATCCGGAAAAACGTAGTTTGAAGGAAGTGGTACTTACTGCACTTCGGATTTTTCAAAAGACTATAACTTGAGTAGGCTACTGTTTAAGTTGGACAAACTTACAAATATATATGGTATGCAATAGTTTCTATCAACTTTTTATACATAATTAGAAGATCTTATTTTTTTGATTCTTGAAAATTTTGAGTGATTTCCTGCAGTGGCGGAACTAGAATAAAAGGGCCACCCCGCCAAAAAAATGTTTGGGCCCCATATATATATATAAATAAATAAATAAACAAATAAATAAATAAATAAATAAATAAATAAATAAATAAATAAATATATATATATATATATATATATATATATATATATATATATATATATATATATATATATATATATATATATATATATATATATATATTTATATATAAAAGCAAAATACGAATATAAAATACTCAGTACGGGCTTGGTCGATATTTGAAAAAATAAAAAATTCCTAGGTTTTATTTATAATTAAAACATGTTACAACAAGACATTACTAAGATGAGTGCCATTAGTCTTTCCATTAGTCTTTTTAGAAATTCTCTGTTTCTAAGTCTGACATAATGCCTGCTAAGTTACTAGTCGGTCAAAAGAATATGAAGCATGAAAGCTTTGTTCGTGTAATGGTTTCTCGCCTTATGTTTATTTTTATGGTTTTTTTTTTATATTATTAGTTTTTCATAAATTTACTATTTATACTATGTCATTCTTTATTATGTATTTAAAACATAATAATAATTAAGAAAAGTAGTTGCTTTTTAATTTGTTTAGTGCAAATCTATTAAAAGGTTCTTAAGAGCAATCACATTTTTGACTATTTAAAAAAGGGAAATAAGTCATGGAAGTGGTTTTAACGTTTGCCTATCTTTCACACTACAACTCATATATACATTTTTTTCCTTTACGATACAGCGTGTGTTAGCTACAGTAGAACATCACTACTTTAGTAGATCTTTTCTTTTATATGAAAATAATTTTTTAACTATAAAAAAAATTGATTATGGTCGGCTGTGGGCCCCTAAACGGCCTCCCCCCCCCCCCCCCGCATTGCGGGGTCTGGCGGCACTGTAGTTCCGCCCCTGATTTCCTGTGACCAGGAGTAGTATTTTATGCTATTTCCGATTTCTCAAAATGATCACTTCTACATGGCCTATTTGTTTCAAACGTTTTACGTAGGCCAAGACTCAATGACAATTCACAGTGACACAAAATGTAACTCAATTAATGTTAAATTACCTTTTTTTTAAAAAAAATAAATCAATGTTTCTTTTATAAAGCACTAATTTTCCGCTCTAATATGAACACGTTGTTTGCGTTTATTTGGTGCGCAATTCTTTTTCTCTACTGATTCTATTATAAAATTTTAGCATTAAAAAAAATGATTTTATAGTCCGATTGCATTGAAAGTGTCATCCCTTTACTGTTTTAAAAGAGTATACGAGGAAGTTTAAGGGATATCACTCTCGCTTTAAAAAAATGCAATTTAGCTTTCACAAGATCCAGCATGTAAGCTATCAAACATTTTTCAAATCGATGACATTGATGTCACATCTGCTGAGGTGTGATGTTGCGGGGTTCAACATAGATGTGTCTGTTATACTTTAACCATTGCCTTATTGTTTGTGTAAGATGTGTCTGTTATACTTTAACCTTGCCTTATTGTTTGTGTAAGATGTGTCTGTTATACTTTAACCATTGCCGTAAAGTTTGTGTAAGGTGTCAGAAAAAATGTTGTTGGCTTGAAAATAATAGGTTGTCTTCGCTGAATTTCGCCTCACTTCGACTTAAACGATTAAAACACTTTCTACGCCAGTTGCTTTGCAGAACTTTTATTTTTAAAGAAAAAGATTTTCTAGCATTTCCTGACCTAAGAGTGGCTAAAAAGAACACGCAGTTTTATGCACTCTTCGTCCTACCTATATGATTGTCCCTTTAGTCGGAGCTAGTCGGAAACTTTTCTTGTTTTGCTGATGTGGTTGATGTGACAGTGATGTTGTTAACATAGCATAAATGAATGTGTTGAGTAATTTTAGCGGGACTCAGTGAGCAGTGATGGTGTCTACATAGTTTACCATGATTTGGTTTTGTTCTATTTAAATAACTTCTAGGCGTGGATTTATTTGTTTCAAGTTGTAGGAGATAAAAATAAATCTCCAAAATACCAGTTCTGTTGCTATATTGATACAATTGAATAGAATGAATGACTAGGCTAATCAGAGCAATTTTATGTCAGTTGCTTTATGTAAATGATTGAATCTTTGTTAGCAGTTATTATATAAGGTTTATGGGGTAGTTAAAAACTTTATTAAGTACAAGTTGTTAGCCGAGGGGGGAAAATCAAATGTGGTGATGTCTTTGATATTGATCTACCACATACTTTATGACTAATGGTGATGTCTTTGATATTGATCTACCACACACTAAGTTGTATGACTAATGATGATGTCTTTGATATTGATCTACAACATACTTTATTGTATGACTAATGGTGATGTCTTTGATATTGATCTACAACATACTTTATTGTATGACTAATGGTGATGTCTTTGATATTGATCTACAACATACTTTATTGTATGAATAATCGCGTACAGAAGACTTTACAGTTAATGCATAAGGCTGATTACACGCGCAGATAATAATTAATTGCTACCGTTTAGAGCGGACGAATACAATAGCTACAATATTATAATCTGGCTCACAAAAACATACAAGAACTTGTTTTGAAGTGTATATAAATGTACTCTACTTTTATTTGGGAAAATATACACCTCAAGTTTTATGACGTACAACTTGTATTTATGCGTCACATTCACATAAAGAGCAGCCGGTGGTCGGGTCCTTCTTAAAGCCGTTCATGCCGCAGTCCAGGTCACAGGAGAAGGGCGAGCAGGGGTTGGTGATGGTGGACACGGTAGTCTGGGGCGCGGGGGTCACTTCTGTGCTGGACACTGTGGTGGCTGCGGTGGTGGAGGTAGAGGCGGACACCTGGAACTGGCAGATGTAGTAGTGCTCCTCGGGGTCGGCGAAGAAGAGGAAGTTGTACGAGTCGCAGGGGTACTCGGCCCACTTGCCGCCAGATGACGCGTCGATGGTCACACAGTCGTCTGACTCGTGGTTGAAGATGTGTGTGATGGAGCCCGCCCCGGGGCCCTCGCCGCTGTCCCAGTTGTGGTAGTCCAGGGGGGTCCCGTCCTCCCACTTGTAGACGTTCTCATTGTCGAGGTCATTGAGTCCTATCCAGACGAGCGAGTGGCTCCTGTAGGTGTTGAGCAGCTCATGGTACAGGTAGCTCTGGGTCTCGGCGTCCTTCACCAGCGCCAGGGTGCCGCCGTTCTTCTCGCAGTCCTGTCGGGCCTTGGAGTGGGTGTAGCGCCGGAAGAGGACGAACTGCCAGCAGGAGTTGCCGTGCACCTGCAGGTACGTGTCACGTGGTAGGCCGGCTGGGCAGTCATTCACGGTCAGGGGGGTGCCTGAAATATACAGCTAGATTGTTAATCACATTTAGGGGGGCGCCTGAAATATACAGTTAGATTGTTATTCACAGTCGGGGGAGGGGGGGGGGAGCGCCTGAAATATACAGCTCGATTGTTATTCACAGTCAAAGGGGCGCCTGAAATATACAGCTACATTGTTATTCACAGTCGGGGGGGGGGGGCGCCTGAAAAATACAGCTACATTGTTATCGCTACTCATATAGTTCAGGGCGGTAGATTGAGGTTGAAATAAAAAAAACAACAACACCAAATCAATGTTAAAGAAACAAAGAGAAAACGATCGCAGTAAAAAAATAAACAAAAACCAATTATTTATTCATTTAAATATTTTAGTGCATCGGCAAATACCATGAAAACATATAATCAAACTGAGAGACAAAAATTACAATTAAAATGCTGGTAATCTGTTTTCTAGTTTGTTACATAATGCTGCATGCTAAACCGTTTCGTGTTCTTTACATTAGCCAGGTTTAGAGATTAGACCGACTTTTCGCGAGCCAAAAAAAAAGAATCAATAAAAACTCTCTGTAATCAATTTGAATTTTTTAAAATTAGTTATTAAAACATTATGAAAAACTAACACTGTAATGGTGTCTAAATGTAACTGAAGGTTCACTTTACCTAAATGTAGGCAGACAGCCACGAGAAAAGCTAAAGCCAACATCTTCCAATGTGTTGCCAAATGTTTTTCTCACCTGAAACACGGGAGACCAAATCTTTCAAATCTTGATAAGGAGGTCTTGTGACCTAATTCAAATTTCAGCAAATCATCTGCTACGGTTGACTCGAGATTTAGCTCTAGGGTCAGCTTGCCACGTAGGCTGTGTAGGATGTTCTACATTCTGACGCCATTTTTGACTCTGATAATTTTCTAAAAAATAGTCAGTTCTTTAAAATGTTGTTAATGCGTGCGTTTTAGATAGCGATGTACACATCACTAGCTTGTAATCAAATTTGATTTTTAAAACGTCTTCAAAACTGAGTAAACTAAATTAAAGATGAATAAGTACAATTATAAGGGGATATAACAACTGATATGTCTCCATTGTTGATGTTTACAGACCTGGAACCATGGCGTATTAAAGGGGAGGTAAACATCGTTGCCAACAGTTGGCATTAGACATGGCTGCTTGCTCTCCCTATTTCTTATCAAGGTCTACCTGTAAACGATTGTGACCGACTCATTGGAAAACGATGTTACCAACCAGCGCTTCGCTGACACATGGATGCTATGACAGTCTGTGATGGCGAACTGCTGGAATTGCTGGACCGGCTGGACAAAACATCTGGCACGATGACCAGTGCTGAGATAATGGAGGGCATTGCTGGACCGGCTGGACAGAACATCTGGCACCATGACCAGTGCTGAGATAACGGAGGGCATTGCTGGACCGGCTGGACAGAACATCTGGCACGATGACCAGTGCTGAGATAACGGAGGGCATTGCTGGACCGGCTGGACAGAACATCTGGCACCATGACCAGTGCTGAGATAACGGAGAGCATTGCTGGACCGGCTGGACAGAACATCTGGCACGATGACCAGTGCTGAGATAACGGAGGGCATTGCTGGACCGGCTGGTAAAACATCTGGCACGATGACCAGTGCTGAGATAACGGAGAGCATTGCTGGACCGGCTGGACAAAACATCTGGCACGATGACCAGTGCTGAGATAACGGAGGGCATTGCTGGACCGGCTGGTAAAACATCTGGCACGATGACCAGTGCTGAGATAACGGAGAGCATTGCTGGACCGGCTGGACAGAACATCTGGCACGATACCAGTGCTGAGATAACGGAGGGCATTGCTGGACCGGCTGGTAAAACATCTGGCACGATGACCAGTGCTGAGATAACGGAGAGCATTGCTGGACCGGCTGGTAAAACATCTGGCACGATGACCAGTGCTGAGATAACGGAGGGCATTGCTGGACCGGCTGGACAGAACATCTGGCACGATGACCAGTGCTGAGATAACGGAGGGCATTGCTGGACCGGCTGGTAAAACATCTGGCACGATGACCAGTGCTGAGATAACGGAGGGCATTGCTGGACCGTCTGGACAGAACATCTGGCACGATGACCAGTGCTGAGATAACGGAGAGCATTGCTGGACCGGCTGGTAAAACATCTGGCACGATGACCAGTGCTGAGATAACGGAGGGCATTGCTGGACCGGCTGGACAAAACATCTGGCACGATGACCAGTGCTGAGATAACGGAGGGCATTGCTGGACCGGCTGGACAGAACATCTGGCACCATGACCAGTGCTGAGATAACGGAGGGCATTGCTGGACCGGCTGGTAAAACATCTGGCACGATGACCAGTGCTGAGATGACGGAGGGCATTGCTGGACCGGCTGGACAGAACATCTGGCACCATGACCAGTGCTGAGATAACGGAGGGCATTGCTGGACCGGCTGGTAAAACATCTGGCACGATGACCAGTGCTGAGATAACGGAGGGCATTGCTGGACCGGCTGGACAGAACATCTGGCACCATGACCAGTGCTGAGATAACGGAGGGCATTGCTGGACCGGCTGGTAAAACATCTGGCACGATGACCAGTGCTGAGATAACGGAGGGCATTGCTGGACCGGCTGGTAAAACATCTGGCACGATGACCAGTGCTGAGATAACGGAGGGCATTGCTGGACCGGCTGGACAGAACATCTGGCACCATTACCAGTGCTGAGATAACGGAGGGCATTGCTGGACCGGCTGGACAGAACATCTGGCACGATGACCAGTGCTGAGATAACGGAGGGCATTGCTGGACCGGCTGGACAGAACATCTGGCACGATGACCAGTGCTGAGATAACGGAGGGCATTGCTGGACCGGCTGGTAAAACATCTGGCACGATGACCAGTGCTGAGATAACGGAGGGCATTGCTGGACCGGCTGGACAGAACATCTGGCACCATGACCAGTGCTGAGATAACGGAGGGCATTGCTGGACCGGCTGGACAGAACATCTGGCACGATGACCAGTGCTGAGATAACGGAGGGCATTGCTGGACCGGCTGGTAAAACATCTGGCACGATGACCAGTGCTGAGATAACGGAGGGCATTGCTGGACCGGCTGGACAGAACATCTGGCACCATGATCAGTGCTGAGATAACGGAGAGCATTGCTGGACCGGCTGGACAGAACATCTGGCACGATGACCAGTGCTGAGATAACGGAGGGCATTGCTGGACCGGCTGGACAGAACATCAGCAACATCTGGCACGATGACCAGTGCTGAGATAACGGAGGGCATTGCTGGACCGGCTGGACAGAACATCATCAACATCTGGCACGATGACCAGTGCTGAGATAATGGATGTCATGACAAACAGCCCAAGTTGTATAACGACAGATTAAAAGGTCACATATTAGATTAGGTCCCCTTCCGTTTAATACTTTAGCGCTATCTTATCGGTCGAGGGAGCTGAATAAAAAATACTCGCAAAAAATGCACATAAGACAGCAGCACTTGGTCAAGCTAAAAAACATTTGAGTGACAGAAGAGTTCTCTAGGTGCAAAATTCTAATGTCGTGACGTGTCCGTCTTCTTATATTGATGTAAAGCAGAGGTCTCCAAACTTTTCTGCCCGACGGCCGCATTAACTATAAAATATCAGGTCGGGGGCCAGAGTTTCTTCTAGGAAGTTCTTCGAGTTGGCGAAACTGCAGCTGGAGGTCCTTGATTATCTCATATGCAAATGATTCAGCTGTTGCTTCAGCCTAAAGACTTTGCACTGCTGAAAGAGCGTCAAGTTGTTGGCTTGTACTTGTTCCAAAAATAAGACCCGTTTGGATCTGAAGGCCTTTAGGTGGGTGTATAGAACAGAAACTAGATTTTACTTTCCTTGTAGTTTTAGGTCCAGAAAATTTAAATGACTAGTTATGACTGCAGCAAAGGTCAATTTCTACACCCACTCTTCATCAGACATTAATGGCTGTGGCTTACTTTCCAGGAATTAACCTATTTCCTTTCTTAATTTAAATACTCTGCTCAGAACTTTCCCACAATTTAGTCATCTTAATGTTGTATAATATGGTAAATGCTGCGTTTCTGTGTTTGTATCTTTCAACATGTCTCTGAACTATCTATGGTTAAGCCAATGTGGCTTTATTAAATTCACCATCTTCACCACAGGATTCAGTACACTACCAAGCTTTCTGGTGAATAATACAGTGCAGGAACACTGGTTGTAAAATGTTTTTCTCATTCGCTTGTCCAACTAAACCTTTCTTTATGCCGTTCATGAGGTTAGTCCAGTCCAAGTTATAATCGCTTTTTTAAAACTCATTGAATATACCCTCTCCGGTAAAAGTGGCATACATGCTATGTAGGGAAGCCAGCTCTTGTGTTATGCTCATGTCTTCATTCACATCTCTATTGAACACAAGTAGTTGAGGTGGAACAGCTGTCCAGCGACTCATCAATTGTTATTGAAAAATGTCGAAACTTGCTTGCATTTTTCGCTATTTGAGTCTCGATGTTTTCACCAATGTCTGCAACACGGCGGGCAATGGTAGTTGCACCCAAAGATACATTTTCAAATTGTTTTAAATTTTCTTGGCAAAGTTCCTTAGCCGTGGACAAAAAGATCTCCGCGGGCCGAATGAGAGGACCTCGCGGGCCGCATTCGGCCCGAGCGCCGTAGTTTGGAGACCCTGATGTAAAGCATGGACGCCTAATGCAGCTATCCGTGACGGATCAAGCCCTATTTTCATTGCATTTTAAAAAAAGCTTGCTATTACAAAGGTTGTTATATTTATTTTATTTTCCATTTTTTAAAAATCATTCTTTGAAATGAAGCTGACACTACATCGGCTACAAGTAAAAAAATCAAGTTAAAAAATCCGACCACTTGTTTGTGAGCTCTAAAAGTCAGTTATCTGCCCCTGCTTAGTTTGGGGGTCAACGTTCAGGAAAGAAATCAACCAACCGAGACAAATCGTTCACCAGTTACGGCCCTCTGATCAAGCGCTGGGTTTTTTTTTTTTAAATCTCGTTGTTTCGCCTTTTATTGTTGAATATAGTAATTTTAAAATAAAAGTGTCTATCTAATAAGATAACAAATTATATATTCTTGCATCGTCCTCGGAGAAGAATGTGCCAGAAGAGCTTAAACGAAATCGCTGCATTAAAAGTAGTTAAAATTTGAGTTACAGACCCGAAGACATTGTGAGCCAAGTAAAAGCTTGTGATAAAAATGAGGAGGCCTGCGATAAAGTCAACAATACACTTTGACCTTGTGAAGATTTGCTTAGCATTGTCAAGGCAAATCAGTTCACGTGGTATGTACGCGTGAGACGAACCAGAGGTACCTCCAAGACAATTCTGCAGGGCACCGTGCCAGGAGAAGACGAGGGAGACAAAGGAGGAGATTACTGGATTAGTGGATTAGTAATAAAATACTTTAAAAAAACTTTTTAAAAAACCACGTTTTTCTTGTGGACTAAAAAGTAGAAAATAAATTTTCATACATTTGATGACAAAAAACGTGGGTACGTTCACCATCAAATTTCCCGACCCATCTGCCCGACCCACGTTTTTTGTCATCAAATGTATGAAAATTTATTTTCTACTTTTTAGTCCACAAGAAAAACGTGGTTTTTTTAAAAGTTTATTTTAAGTATTTTATTTTCTCCTTTTTAGTCCGTTGCTACACATGAAAAACGTGGTTTTTAAAAAAGTTTTTTATATAGTTTATTTTCTACTTTATCTAATGACTTGATTAAGTATGACTTGACTAAGTGTTTATAAATACACGGACTAAAAATCTTGAGCGACCAGGATTCGAACCTGGGTTGTCGCGGCCACAACGCGAAGTACTAACCGCTATACGATCACGGCCAGCGCGCTCACATCGATTGGGGCCGAAGTAACTGTGTCAATAGGCCTCCAGTCTTGTCTGTATCTTTAGAAATCATGTCCTCAATTTTATGGTCCTTGGGGCGTAATTAAATTAAGCTAATTACGGTCTCTAATTGCTAGTTTTTATGATTGCATCTGAAATTGTTAGGCGAAAGTAGCCTGCATGCCAAATTTCAGATCTCTAGAGCAATCAGAAGTGGGCTAATTTTCGATGTCAATTTTAACAACAAACATCCAAACAAACAAACAAACAAACGCGAAGCTGAGTTAAGAAAAACGTGTTAATAAAATAGTGGATAACATCTGGTACCTGGCCGGATTGTCATTTGCAGATTTTCTGAAACAGGACTGGGACAGACGGCATGAAGTTGTAGAGGGATCAACATAGGCCCCACAACGATCCTCCCGGAGGCGTTTGGATAGATTTAATTTATCTCACTGTACACATGTATGTTGGGGGTCAACAGAGGCCCCACAACGATCCTCCCGGGGTCGTTTGGATAGATTTAATTTATCTCACTGTACACATGTATGTTGGGGGTCAACAGAGGCCCCACAACGATCCTCCCGGGGTCGTTGGGATAGACTTGATTCATCTCACTGTACACATGTATGTTGGGGGCGGGGGAATATAGAGTCGACTTGTGTCGGCTAGAGTCGACTTGTGTCATTTAAAAAAAAAAAATGACCAACATGTTATAAACAAACTCCAAGGCAAGAAAGTGTGCACTTTAAACGTTTATTTTATAAGTCGCTCATGCGCTTGATGCTTTTATGGTTTTCAAATTACATTTCTTGTAAGGATTTATCAAGATTTGGGATTCAAGTTAACAGCAAAGTGGCAGAGCTTAATACGTGACACCTTGAGATGTTTAAGGGTAGCTAGCAGTCGCAGGTTTCACATAGGGTAACATTGTCTGCCCGGTTGTGGCTGCAGGTTGTGTTGCAAAAGTCAGCCGGACATGGGGGAGTTGTGACATCAGATAGAACTGGCGTTGTTAGCACTGTGGTTTCAACAGGAAGTGTCGTTGTTGGCAATGTGGTTTCAACAGGAGGTGTCGTTGTTGGCAATGTGGTTTCAACATGAGGTGTCGTTGTTGGCAATGTGGTTTCAACAGGAAGTGTCGTTGTTGGCAATGTGGTTTCAACAGGAGGTGACGTTGCTGGCACGATGGTGACCACGCTGCGCGCCATATACTGGCAGACGTAGGAGTGTGACTCACTGGTACTGAAGAAAATCAGGAAGGAGCCGCTTTCACAGTTGGTCTCCTTCCACTTCCCTCCCGCTACGAGGTCAATGACCACGCAGTCCCGGGTGTTGTGGTTGGCGGTGTGGGTGACGGACGTGCTCGCTGGCCCCTCCCCTCCCGCCCAGTCCGTGTAAACGGGGGTCGTCCCGTCCTCCCATTGATAAATGTTTTCCGTGGCGAGGTCGTTGAGGCCGATCCAAATCTTGCCGGACACCTTGAAGTTGTTGACCAGCTGGTCGTACAGGTACTCCTGGACGTCCACTGACTTGACCAGCACCAGAGAGCCGCCATGTTGCTCGCAGTAGGCCCGGGCGGCGGTGTGGGTGTTGTGGCGGTACACGACGAACTGGTAGCAGGTGTCCCCGCGCACCTGCAGGTATATGTCCCTGGGGACACCGGCGGGACAGTCGTCAATGGTGACACACGAACCTACGGGAAAATAATGGTGACACATAAACTTAGGGGAAAATAATGGTGACACAGGAACTTGGGAAAAATAATGGTGACACACGAACTTAGGGGAAAATAATGGTGACACACTTACATAAGGGAAAATAATGGTGACACACGAACATTCAGGAAAATAATGGTGACACACGAACCTAAGGAAAAATAATGGTGACACACGAACTTGGGAAAAATAATGGTGACCCATGAACATACGGGAAAAGAATGGTGACACAAGAATCTAGGGAAAAATAATGGTGACACACGAACTTGGGGTAAATGATGGTGACCCATGAACCTACGAAAAAATAATGGTGGCACACGAACTTAAGGGAATATAATGGTAACTCATGAGCCTATGAGAAAATAATGGTGACACACGAACCTACGGGAAAATAATGGTGACACACGAACCTAGGGGAAAATAATGGTGACACGTGAACCTAGGGAAAAATGGTGATACACGAACCTACAAGAAAATAATGGTGGCAAACAAACCTATGGGAAAATAATGGTTACCCATGAACTTACGAGAAAATAATAGTGACACACGAACCTAAAGGCAAAATAATGGTGACAAAAACATACGAGAAAATAATGGTGACACACCAACCTAAGGGAAAATAATGGTGACACACGAAATGACGGGGAAATAATGGTGACACATGAACTTAAGGTTAAATAATGTTGACACACGAACTTAGGGGAAAATAATGGTGACACACGTACATTAAGGAAAATAATGGTGACACACGAACTTAAGGGAAAATAATGGTGACACACGAAACTAGGGGAAAATAATGGTGAACACGGACCTAATGGTTACACATGAACTTACGGGGAAATAATGGTGACACATGAACATAAGGTAAAATAATGTTGACACACGTACATTAAGGAAAATAATGTTGACACCCGAAACTAGGGGAAAATAATGGTGACACACGTACAGACGAAAAAAATAATGGTGACACACGAGCCTACTGGAAAATAATGGTGACACACAGACCTTTGATGAATTAATGGTGACACACGAACATACGGGAAAATAATGGTGACACACAAACTTAGGGGAAAATAATGGTGACACATGAATCTATGGGAAAATAATGGTGACACACAAACCTACGGGGAAATAATGGTGACACGTGAACCTACGGCAAAATAATGGTGAAAACCTAACCTACGGGAAAATAATGGTGACACATGAACCTAAAGGAAAATAATGGTGACACACGTACATACGGGAGTATAATGGTGACACACGAAACTACCGGAAAATAATGGTGACTCACGAACCTGGGGGAAAATAATAATGACACACAAACCTAGGGGAATATAATGGTAACATGTGAACCTACGGCAAAATAATGGTGAAACCCTAACCTACGGGAAAATAATGGTGACACATGAACCTACGGGAAAATAATGGTGACATACGAACCTACGGCAAAATAATGGTGACACACAAACATATAGGAAAATTATAGTGACACATGAATGTATGGGAAAATAATGGTGACACACGAACATTTGGGGAGATAATGTTGACACACGAACATTTGGGAAAATAATGGTGACACATGAACATTTGGGGAAATAATGGTGACACACGAACATTTGGGGAGATAATGTTGACACACAAACCTACTGGGAAATAATGGTAACATATAAACCTACATGGGACGGTGTGGCCTAGCGGTAGGGCGCTAGACTACTAACCTGAAAGTCTCGAGTTCAAATCCAGGTTCAAGTCAATAGAACGTCCTTGATTCCTAGGGAAAATAAAGGCGGCTGGGTATAGTGCTGACCACTCTATCCCTTCATAACCCTGGTTACAGAAATATGTGAACTCTACTTCACTTGCCCCATGAACCTACGGGAAAATAATGGTAAGAAATGAACCTACATTAAAATTTTTTGTTCCAGATCATTAAATTAAAACAAGTGACATCGCTATTCTTTGTCATTAAAAATAATTAATTAGTTCGTTGGTTTTTTTACACTACAAAACTTACGAGATTTCAAATTACTACATATAATTTTTGTCTCATGAAATGCGGCGAGGAACTTATTGTCTAATTCTCTTAACCCGATGTTAAAAAACGATCACACTTTGTTCACAGGAACATAACGTATCACCGTATTTTTATAGTAGTGTCAACTACCCTCCATAAAAAAGTGTCAGTATTTGGTAAATGACTTCAGCAATAATTTGGGGTGATTAACTTTCGGTAAACAAGAAAAATGAGTAAATATTAAGTTTATCACATAACAAAAAGTTAAAAATAGAAAAGAGATAATAAATGAGGTAAGAGAAACACAAGAGTAAATAACTAAGTTGAGAAAAACTAGAGATATTAACTGAGGTAAGAGAATACAAAAGGAAATAACTGAGGTAAGAGAAACATTGGAGAAAATAACTGAGAAAATAACTGAGGAAGAAAAACTAGACAGATTAACAGAGGTAAGATAAATACAAGAGAAAATAAACCGGGAGTGATCTCCCCTAAACTTTCTCGAATATTCTTATTTAACTTGAAACATAGACAGGATTTTTAATTACTTAAACTTTTAAAAAATTCATAATAAACGTTTTAATAACAAGCTTTTATGTAATAATGCACTAAAAAGTAGAAAATAAATTATAGACTACTATTTAAATAACTATAAAGAAAAGCGTGGGTAACTTTAGTATCTATTGGATACCTTTACTAATGTTAAGGAAGACACCCACGCTTTTCTTTATAGTTATTTAAATAGTAGTCTATAATTTATTTTCTACTTTTTAGTGCATTATTACATAAAAGCTTGTTATTAAAACGTTTTTTATGAATTTTTTTGTTGTTAGTCATGTTGTTATGTGACAAACACAATATCGATTTATTTTTCTTGTTTACCGGAAGTTAATCACCCCAAGTTATTGCTGAAGTCCTTAATACAGCTGAATGCCTTGTTGGGCGGGTAGTTGACACTACTATAAAAAATATTGTGATAGGTTATGTGACCTACTGTTCCTGTGAACACAATGTGATAGTTTATTTGACTCTTACCATATTATGAAGAGAATTAGACAAAGCGTTTCTCTGAACATTTCAAGAGACAATGTATATGTGATAAATTGAAAGATCGGAAGTGTTGTTCAAAAAACAAAAACAACAACCAGCGATCTAATTAAATAACTATAAAGAAAAGCGTGGGTGTCTTCCTTAACATTATTAAAGGTATCCAATAGATACTAAAGTGACCCACGCTTTTCTTTATAGTTATGTAAATAGTAGTCTATAATTTATTTTCTACTTTTTAGTGCATTATTACATAAAAGCTTGTTATTAAAACGTTTTTTATGAACTTTTTTTTCAGTACTTTACATGTTTTATTTACAATAGAGTTACATGACTAAAAACCATTGCGCGCCTACTGAAGGTGATGGCGCAGCTATTGAACGTGATGACGCGTGTGGTGTGGTTGGATAGACATGCCTATTGATTCGGTCCAAATTTTAATAAAGTCATAAAAAATTAATTAGGCATCCAATTAAGTCAAATTTAATTTCAGATTGCATTGTCTTCATGTCTTGACCCACGTGCCAAATGTGAATCGTATCGGTCAAGTAGAAGTGTCCGAATTTTCACTCCAGCATTTCGATCTAGACAGACAGACTGACGAGGAAGTGAGTTAAATAAAAGCTTGTAAAAATAAAATAGAATCTCATAGAAAAAAGAATTGCGCACCAAGCGAACGCCAAAACAAAATGTGCATAATAGTGGGCAATATTATTAGTACTTTACAAATTTACATGCGTTTCTTGAGAAATCAAAAATAGCGTAAATTAGTACTTCCGGTCAACGGAAATTGCTCAAAATTTTACAGAAGGTAGAAAATTAGATCTTTTACTTGCATGTGAAATTTCATTTATGGATCTGAAATAGTACTCAAGTTATAGGATTTTTAAAAATTCATAGTAGAAAAAGTACCACTTCCGGTTATCGGAAATCGCTCAAAAGTTGAACAGGATCTACGATTTTGATAAAATACTTATATATGAAAGTTCATCAATCTAGCTGTAACGGTACTCAAGTTATCGTGTTTACACACAGACAGACAGACACACAGACACACAGACATTCGAACAAGATTGCAAAATTATGTTTTTCCGTATCAGTGAGGTGTAAAACGTCGAGATTTGTAAAAATTACGATTACAAGACTTTCTCTATACGAGAAAGTAAAAAACTGAGGTAAGAAAAACAAAAGGAAATAACTGAAGTGAGAAAAACTAGAGATATTAACTGAGGTAAGAGAATACAAGAGGAAATAACTGAGTTAGTAGAAACACAAGAGAAAATAACTGAGGTGAGAGAAACACAAAAGAGAAAACAACTGAGGTGAGAGAAACACAAAAGGAAAAAAAAACTGAGGTGAGAGAAACACAAGAGGAAATAACTGAGGGACTAGAAACACAAGAGGAAATAACTGAGGTAGAAGAAACAAAATAGGAAATAACTGAGGTTAGAGAAACACAAGAGGAAATAACTCAGACAAAAGGAGATAACTTTACCGAGATAAACCAGGGTTGAGATGACCAGAAAAGCGAGAGACGCCGCTTTCTTGTCTGTGCGCCGAATGAAGAAAATCAACACACGAACAGTAAGACTTCCATGTCAAAACAAAACCCAAGGCATGTTAAAAGTTGTTCGAACTAGAGAACTAGACAGAAGGCAGGTAACGATAACGTGCAATGTCGTCTACAGATAGTCAACTGACTTTCTCAACTGTCGCCCACTGCATAGGCCTGTGTTACTTTAATCATCATCGGACACTTCTGATCTGTTGCAATAAATACACTCATCTGTGCAATTTCAAGAAATCTTTTCCTTATTTGTCTAATGTATTCTCTCTCTTCCCCCCCCTCTCTCTCTCACAAACACACACACATATTATATATATATATATATATATATATATATATATATATATATATATATATATATATATATATATATATATATATATATATATATATATATAATTCCCCATGTACGCACTTCTCTCTCTCTCTCTCTCTCTCTCTCTGTCTGTCCGCAAAATATTTTCGCCGGACATCACGTCAGAAACGGCAGCGATATATGGAGAACTTTATACGAACTTTTTTTAAAAAATAATATGTTAGATGCTTTAAATGTATAACAACAATTTTATTTAAAGAAGAAATATAAAAAATAAAGGCGTATTCGAACGTAGAGAAACAGTATTATTTATGCAACCGGAAAAGTGTTTAACCTTGGGAAAAGAACGCATTAAACAATGACGTCGCTTATTGTTTACACTAAAAAAAGAGCAAGAAACTGATGACGTCCTCTTCCGTGTTTAGAATAAAAAGAAATGAACTATTTCATTCAAATATGATTTAGAGCTATGTACGCTATGAAATGTATACAATACAATTTTCTCGGCCTAAACTTAAAAAAAATTATTTTATCTATTTAGATTCTAGATCTAGAGATTTTAGATCTAGATATTGATCTAGATCTAGATATCCTAGATCATCTAGATCTAGAGATTCTAGATCATATAGATCTAGAGATTCTAGATCTAGATCTAGATGATCTATAAAGCTAAGTTGTCGGGTGCCCCATAGGGAATTTCCCGGCGCCGCAGGCGCTTCAAATTTGCCAGGATCTTGCCTTGGGGCGACAGAACACGGGGGCCGGTTGGCCGAAAAGTCTACAATGAGGGGGTCAAAACTGACCTCGACTGAACGGCGCCTTATATGGGCGAATTAGTTAAGCATTCAAATTCTCAATGTTTTCGAAAGCCTAAGCGAAGCTGGGCAGCATGCCTAGTATCACGTACAGAACCGTTACCCCTCCCCCTCATTGCCCCACAATTGCAGATACTCTAAAGGCGTTTCCCTGAGAAAACGCAGGCAATCGCCTGTTTAACTAATTTTCCAGTAAACTAAAATAAATCCTTGGAGGTTCTAAAATGTATGCTACACTAAACTAGTGACTTTATCAAAACATATTTACAACAAAAAGTAACAACTTGAGAATTAAAAACAGCAATGCATATTTATTCTCACATCATTCAGTCTAGCAAAAAACATTGAACAAAGTTCATACAAAGTTTAGTGTCAGTCTCGCGAGCGTTTCACTTAGGCGCTGGCGAGGGGGTACTGGCAGATGTAGCCGTGTTCCTCCACTTCGGTCCACAGGATGTAGTTGGTGCTCTCGCAGGGGTACTCGGCCCACTTGCCGCCGTAGCCGACGTCCAAGAGGACACAGTCGTTGTGTTCGTGGTTGAAAATATGGGACAGGGAGCCACCGGTGGGGCCTTCACCGTCATCCCAGTTGCTGTAGGTCAGGGCGGTGCCATCGTCCCACTTGAAGGTGTTCTCAGTCTCCAGATCGTTGAGGCCGAGCCAGATGAGGGGGTTGTAGCTCATGTGGTAGGTGTTCCTCACCTCGGTGTAGATGTAGTTCTGGATCTCCGCGCTCTTGATCAGCACCAGGGTGCCGCTGTTCTTCTCGCAGTCGGCCTTGGCCGCGGTGTGCGTCACGCGCTTGGCCACGTTAAACTGGTAGCACGTGCCGTTGACCGCCTGGAGGGTGTTGTCTTGGGTCAAGGCCGGGGGGCAGCCGACGGCAGTTGTCTGGGCAGCGCCTAGAAGTTTGGGGAGGGGAAAATAAATACAACGAAGTTAGAGAGCTCAATTACTAGTATCAAAAGAATGTATGTAGTTTTACACGATTGATCGTTTACTTAGAAACACTTTCTAGACTTTCTAGACTTAGTTACAATGTAATCATGACGAGAGACATTTCATTAAGCGTAAAGATTCCTCTGAAGACTTAACGATCAATTGGGCAGATGGAGTTCTAATGTTTCTTGACCACGGCATATAAAGGCATAATGTGGTCAGCACTATGCCCAGCCGCCTTTACTTTCCTTAACGTGAGTTAGTTACCCATCCGAGTTGAGTGGATTCAGGGAAATTCCTCTAACTTGAACCCGGATTCGAACACGAAACTATCGGGTTAGCAGTCTAGCGCTCCACCGCTAGGTCACGCCGTCCCATTTCATTAAACGTAGGTGTCACGTTAATCCGTACATACATTTAATACCGTTTTGTTGCTGGTGTGAGTTAAGTTGGAACCCACTGTTTGAAACAAACCGGAAGTAGAGCGTTAAGATTTACGAAATTTGTGACAGAGTAAGCAGCAGTGAGGTTTATCCTATAAGTAACCATAAAAAAATGTGTCAGGATCCTCACAAATATAAGACAACTACAGTGAGTGTTTCGACCTAAGGTCTTCGTCAGCTCACAATAGATTGGTTAGAAACAAAAAGACAAACAGTGACACAATATAGGACAGCTCGACAATGAAGACACGTCTAGTCTAAAGACCACGATAACCAAATAAAGAGACACATGTTAGAGTAGGCGTGGACAGTGTATTGAAAGTAAAACTATGTAAAACTGTTGGTTGATGTTTAGAGAAGACAGCAATTTACGCTACAAGAACCCTTCAAACTTATTTTGGGTAAAATAACACGTACACAACATATAATGTTTAAATACGAATACTTGATGAACAAACACAAAAGATTAAAAAATAAAACCAGATCAGCACATAAGACATTCAGATCTGCACGTGAACACAAAAAAAGATGTGAGATGTAGAGCAAGTAGAGCAGACGAATTCTCCTTACCCAGGCCAACACAGAGAGCAGCGAGGAATAGAGCAGGCAGCATCGTGTGAGGTTCCATTGTCTAGAGATGGATGGCGTCAATGAACTCCGATCCTTTTATGGCGGCTCCAAGTTTGACTCAGCTATTGTTTATCTGTGGGCTGACCTGTGACGTGGAGCGCAGATAACAAGAGTTCAGTCCCCTTATCTTTCCAAACAAGAGTTCGGTCCCCTTATATTTATCGCACTCTTCTATTAAGTGGAGCAGGTTTAAGTGAATTACTGATTTTATTTTTTGTCTAACGTTTTGTACACTACAAACATGTGGCTGTAGGTTTTTCCCGGCTGGTCAACATGACACAGCTGCGTGGTAGAGTTCAACCAAAAATTAGCATCAGCAAAAATAGAAGAAGAAAAAACAGAAATATAAAAATCTTTATAATAGCAAGCTTTTAAATGCACTAAAATTTAAAAAAACTCGTAAAAGCGTTGGTCGCTCTTAAGTTCTCTTAAAATTACTCGACAGTTATCTGCTCTTACTTAGTTCGTGGTCCACGCTCAGGTCGACAGTTTTCGCCATTTTACACCTCTCTACTTTATTGTATACGGAATGTAAGAATATATTGTAATCGTGCAAAAATTCTTATACGAGATTTTGACAAATGTCAACGTTTTACATCCTTCCGGATACGAAAAAACGTAGTTTGCAATTTTTGTTTTTCTGTCTGTGTGTAAGTAAACACGATAATTTCAGCACTGATCCAGTTAGGTTAAAAAAATTCATTTATAAGTATAATGCCAAATTTGTAGTTTTCTATCAACTTTTTAGCGATTTCCGGTTACCAGAAGGAAGTGGTACTTACTGCACTTCCGGTTTTTCAAAAGATTATAACTTGAGTAGGCTACTGTTTAAGTTGGACAAAATTTCAAATACAAGTATTATATATGGTATGCAATATTTTCTACCAACTTTTTATACATAATTAGAAGATCTTATTCTGTTGATTCTTTGAAACTTTGAGTGATTTCCGGTGACCGGGAGAAGTATTTCATGCTATTTCCGATTTCTCAAAAAGATCACTTCTACATGACCGATTTGTTTCAAACGTTTCACCTAGGTCAAGACTCAATGACAATGCACAGTGACACAAAATGTGACTCACTTAGACGTTAAAGTAACTTTTCAAAAAATGTTTCTTTTATAAAGTACTAATTTTCCGATCTAAAATGCATACGTTGTTTGCGTTCATTTGGAGCGCAATTCTTTTTCTCAACTGATCTAATATATAAAGTTCAATTCTGTATGTTTGTTTGTAAAATGTTTGTCGTGGATACTTCGATGGATTTAAGTCATGGTCTAAATTTATAAGTTAAAAAATTACCATTGAAAGTCTTTAAAAAACAATTTTCATTTTATATACTTAGAATAATAATTTTCAATTATAAACATTACATAAAAAATTTTTAAAAGTGTATCAACGTTTATAAAATTTCTAAAATTGTGTCTGAAATGTATTTGCATTTTGTCCTTTAGATCTCATAACGTCTCTTGATTTGGAAAACACAGTTACTTCCCATTAAAAAACCCATTAAATCGGGGGAAGAAAGAATTTACTTTTTTACAAGCTTTTATTTAACTCACTTCCTCTGTCGTCAGTCGACAGTCTGTCGTCAGTCTAGATCGAAACGTAGGAGTGAAAATTCGGACAGTTCTACTTGACCGATACGATTCACAGTTGGCACGTGGGTCAAGACATGAAGACAATGCAATCTGAAACTAAATTTGACTTAATTGGATGCCTAATTAATTTTTTATGAATTAATTAAAATTTGGACCGAATCAGTAGGCATGTCAATCCAACCACACCACACGCGTCATCACTTTCAATAGCTGCGCCATCAGGTTTAATAGCTGCGCCATCACGTTCAGTAAGCGCGCAATGGTTTTTAGTCATGTAACACTATTGTAAATAAAACATGTAAAGTACAGAAAAAAAATTCATAAAAAACGTTTTAATAACAAGCTTTTATGTAATGATGCACTAAAAAGTAGAACATAAATTATACACTACTATTTAAATTACTATAAAGAAAAGCGTGGGTCACTTTAGCACTTTAGTACCTATTGGATACCTTTACTAATATTTGAGAAGAGACCCACGCTTTTCTTTATAGTAATTTAAATAGTAGTGTATAATTTATTTTCTACTTTTTAGTGCATCATTACATAAAAGCTTGTTATTAAAACGTTTTTTATGAATTTTTTATTACTTTGTTTTGGTGTTAAGAAAAAAAATAATTACATAATTAGCGGGGATTGATTAAGTGCAATGTCGTTGGTATTTTTAATACTGCCTTTTATTTATTCTATACACTGAACATACTGTTTACTAATTATTTTTTTAATCAATAACATTTAATAAGCCAGGTCCTACAAATCCTATATGTTTATTTCTTTCCATTTACGGATAAGCTTGGAGTATTATAATTTTGTTCACTAAATTGAAACAGGCGCGTCCGCCGGCGCCCCTGCATGGTTCAATTTGGCGCCCTGGGCTATCATGTGAGTGCTATGCTGCATAATTTTGTTTTAAACAGTGCGATAGACTATGGATAAGAAAGGTTACTATAGTCTTTAAGTAAATCAAATCCGGGCGTGCTCCGGCACCCCGACAGAGTGCTATTTGGCGCCCCGGGCCTTCCCGTGTTCGCTATGGTAACTACGTTCGCGTAAGTGAGTTCAAAAGACTATGAATAAGTTGGGTACTATAATCGTTTACTAAGTTGAATCGGGCGGTTACGCTGCACGTCGTCATGGCGCGATTTGGCGCCCCGGGCTAGACTGTGGACACTTTCAGTTTATATTTGCGTTTGTGTTTTCTTTGTGTTTGAGTTTGGGTTTGCGTTTGCGGTTGTGTTTGCGTTTGGATTTGGGTTTGTTTTCGTTTGCTTTTTTTCTTTGCGTTTGTGTTTTCGTTTGCTTTTTTCTTTGCATTTGTGTTTTCTTTGTGTTTGTGGTTGTGTTTGTGTTTGCGTTTGTTTTTGTGTTTTCGTTTGTGTTTGTATTTGTGTTTGTGTAAAGTTTGCGTTGTTTTTTTTTTTGGTGTGTTTTGGTTTTGTTTGGTTGTGGTTGGGTTTGTGTTTGCGTTTGGATTCGTTTTCGTTTGCTTTTTTGTTTGCGTTAGTGTTTGTAATTTCTTTGTGTTTGTGGTTGGGTTTGTCTTTGCGTTTGTTTTTGTGTTTGTTTTGTGTTAGTGTTATGTTTGCGTTTTTTTTTTGTGTGTTTTGGTTGGTTGTGGTTAGGTTGGTTAATGCTGGGTAAATGCTGATTACTAAACACACAAGTTATGGTCCTTTACAGATACGTTTTTCAGAGATGCCAGTGCAGGGCCTGGCCGGGACGGCTAGTTCTATTATAAAATTTAAAATATTTCTATAGCCCGATTGCATTGAAAGTGTCATCCCCCTTACTGTTTTAAAAGAATAAACGAGAAAGTTTAAGGGAGATGACTCTCGATTTAAAAAAAATGCTATTTAGTTTTCACAAGATCCAGCTTGTAAGCTATCAACATTTTTTCAAATCGATGAACGATTCGTATGTGCCCGCCTCTCACTATTCGACAGAAACAGATTTTTTTTCATAAACATTATTTTAAAATATGATTTATTTTTATTCATTTGTTATGGTTTTAATTTTTTTTTTTTGACTGCCTAGGTTTATTAAATATGTTCGATACTTGTCCCAACTTGTCTAGCGGCGAGCCAGACTGCACTATTTACGTTTTGTAAATATATTTCTCTGTGTGTATGCAATTTGAAAAAAATGCCAAATAATTTTATTATTTTGAAACATTTTTGTTTATTATTTATTAATACATTATGACTACAAGAAAATAAGAAAATAAGAAAATAAATTATGGAAAAAATGACAAGTTATGGAAGGAGTTTGTCGATTTAAAATAGGTGGTGCACGCCACCGTACCGATATTTTAGAATGTGCTCTAGAGTAAAAAAAAGGTTGGGAACCCCTGGTGTAAGGAGTCAGAAAAAAATGTTGTTAGGTTGAAAATAATAAGTTGTCTTCGATGAATTCCGACTCACTTCGACGCATATGATTAAAACATTTTATACGACAGTTGCTTTGCAGAACTTTAGTTTAAAAGGAAAATATTTGCTAGCCCTGCCCGCATTTCCTGACCTAAGAAAGATTTTGGCACTGGCTAAAAAGAACACGCAGTTTTATGCACTCTGCGTTCTACCTTTATGTCCCTTTAGTCGGAGCTAGTCGGAAACTTTTCTTGTTGTGCAGATGTGGTTGGTGTGACAGTGATGTTGTTAACCGACCATCGCCTCAATGAATGTGGTGAGTAATTTTAGCGGGACTCAGTGAGCAGTGATGGTGTCTACATAGTTTACCATGATTTGGTTTTGTTCTATTTAAATAGCTTCTGGGCGTGGATTTATTTGGTTCAAGTTGTAGGAGATAAAAATAAATCTCCAAAATACCAGTTCTGTTGCTATACTGATACAATTGAATAAAATGAATGACTAGGCTAATTAGAGCAATTTTGGTCAGTTGCTTTGTGTAAATGTTTGAATCGTTGTTAGTAGTTATTGTATGAGGGCTATGGGGTAGTTAAAACGTTGTAAAGGTGGTTAGTCGAGGGGAATACCAAATTTGGTGATGTCTTTGATATTGTTCTACAACATACTTTGTTATATGACTAAAGGTGATGTCTTTGATATTGATCTACCACATACTTTATGACTAATGGTGATGTCTTTGATATTGATCTACCACATACTTTATGACTAATGGTGATGTCTTTGATATTGATCTACCACATACTTTATGACTAATGGTGATGTCTTTGATATTGATCTACCACATACTTTATGACTAATGGTGATGTCTTTGATATTGATCTACCACATACTTTATGACTAATGGTGATGTCTTTGATATTGATCTACCACATACTTTATGACTAATGGTGATGTCTTTGATATTGATCTACCACATACTTTATGACTAATGGTGATGTCTTTGATATTGATCTACCACATACTTTGTTGTATGACTAATGGTGATGTCTTTGATATTGATCTACCACATACTTTATGACTAATGGTGATGTCTTTGATATTGATCTACCACATACTTTATGACTAATGGTGATGTCTTTGATATTGATCTACCACATACTTTGTTGTATGACTAATGGTGATGTCTTTGATATTGATCTACCACATACTTTATGACTAATGGTGATGTCTTTGATATTGATCTACCACATACTTTATGACTAATGTTGATGTCTTTGATATTGATCTACCACATACTTTATGACTAATGGTGATGTCTTTGATATTGATCTACCACATACTTTATGACTAATGGTAATGTCTTTGATATTGATCTACCACATACTTTATGACTAATGGTGATGTCTTTGATATTAATCGCCCACATACTGTGTTGTATGACTAATGGTGATGTCTTTGAAATTGATCTACCACATACTTTATTGTTTGACTAATATCGCGTACAGAAGACTTCACCGTTAATGCATAAGGCTGACTACACCCGTAGGTAAAAATTGATTGCTACCATTTAGAGCGGACTCTAGTATAGAATAGCTACAACAGTTTAATCTGGCCAACAAAAACATACAAGAACGTGTTTAGAGGTACTCAGTTTACTTTTATTGGGAAAATATACACCTCATGTCTTATGATGTAAAACTTGAATTTATGCGTCACATTCACACAAAGAGCAGCCGGTGGTCGGGTCCTTCTTAAAGCCGTTCATACCGCAGTCCAGGTCACAGGAGAAGGGCGGGCAGGGGTTGGTGATGGTGGACACGGTAGTCTGGGGCGCGGGGGTCACTTCTGTGCTGGACACTGTGGTGGCTGCGGTGGTGGAGGTAGAGGCGGACACCTGGAACTGGCAGATGTAGTAGTGCTCCTCGGGGTCGGCGAAGAAGAGGAAGTTGTACGAGTCGCAGGGGTACTCGGCCCACTTGCCGCCAGATGACGCGTCGATGGTCACACAGTCGTCTGACTCGTGGTTGAAGATGTGTGTGATGGAGCCCGCCCCGGGGCCCTCGCCGCTGTCCCAGTTGTGGTAGTCCAGGGGGGTCCCGTCCTCCCACTTGTAGACGTTCTCGTTGTCGAGGTCATTGAGTCCTATCCAGACGAGCGAGTGGCTCCTGTAGGTGTTGAGCAGCTCATGGTACAGGTAGCTCTGGGTCTCGGCGTCCTTCACCAGCGCCAGGGTGCCGCCGTTCTTCTCGCAGTCCTGTCGGGCCTTGGAGTGGGTGTAGCGCCGGAAGAGGACGAACTGCCAGCAGGAGTTGCCGTGGACCTGCAGGTACGTGTCACGTGGTAGGCCCGCGGGGCAGTCATTCACGGTCAAGGGGGTGCCTGAAATATACAGCTAGATTTTTATTCACAGTTAGGGGGGCGCCTGAAATATACAGCTAGATTGTTATTCACAGTCAAAGGGGCGCCTGAAATATACAGCTAGATTGTTATTCACAGTCAGGGGGCGCCTGAAAAATACAGCTACATTGTTATCGCTATTCACATAGTTCAGCGCGGTAGATTGAGGTTGAAATTTAAAAAAAAAAAAACCAAAATCAATGTTAAAGAAACAAAGAGAAAACGATTGCAGTAAAAAATAAACAAAAAATAATTATTTATTCATTTAAATATTTTAGTGCATCGGCAAATACCATGAAAACATATAATCAAACTCAGAGACAAAAATTATAAATAAAATGCGAGTAATCCGTTTTCTAGTTTGTTACATAATGCTGCATGCTAAACCGTTTCGTGTTCTTTACATTAGCCTAACCAGGTTTAGAGATTAGACCGACTTTTCGCGAGCCAAAAAAAAAAAGAATTAATAAGAACTGTCTGTAATCAATTTGAATTTTTAAAAAACTAGTTATTAAAACATCAAAAACAAACACTGTAATGGTGTCTATGTGTAACTGAAGTAGTTAAACTTTACCTAAATGTAGGCAGACAGCCACGAGAAAAGCTAAAGCCAACATCTCCCAATGTGTTGTCAAATGTTTTTCTCACCTGAAACACGGGAGACCAAATCTTTCGAATCTTGATAAGGAGGTCTTGTGACCTAATTCAAATTTCAGCAAATCATCTGCTACGGTTGACTCGAGATTTAGCTCTAGGGTCAGCTTGCCACGTAGGCTGTGTAGGATGTTCTACATTCTGACGCCATTTTTAACTCTGATAATTTTCTAAAAGAGACATTTCTAAGAGAGTCAGTTCTTTAAAATGTTGTTAATGCGTGCGTTTTAGATAGCGATGTACACATCCCCAGCTGTTAATCAAACTTGATTTTTAAAACGTCTTCACAACTAAGTAAGCTAAATTAAAGATGAATAAGTAGGGCCTACAATTATTAGGGGAGATAACCGATCTGTCTCCATTGTTGATGTTTACAGTCCTGGAACCATGACGTATTAAAGGGGAGGTAACCACCGTTGCCCACAGTTGGCATTAGACATGGCTGCTTGCTCTCCCTATTTCTTATCAAGGTCTACCTGTAAACGATTGTGACCGACTCATTGGAAAACGATGTTACCAACCAGCGCTTCGCTGACACATGGATGCTATGACAGTCTGTGATGGCGAACTGCTGGAATTGCTGGACCGGCTGGTAAAACATCTGGCACGATGACCAGTGCTGAGATAACGGAGGGCATTGCTGGACCGGCTGGTAAAACATCTGGCACGATGACCAGTGCTGAGATAACGGAGGGCATTGCTGGACCGGCTGGTAAAACATCTGGCACGATGACCAGTGCTGAGATAACGGAGGGCATTGCTGGACCGGCTGGACAGAACATCTGGCTCGATGACCAGTGCTGAGATAACGGAGGGCATTGCTGGACCGGCTGGACAGAACATCTGGCACGATGACCAGTGCTGAGATAACGGAGGGAATTGCTGGACCGGCTGGTAAAACATCTGGCACGATGACCAGTGCTGAGATAACGGAGGGCATTGCTGGACCGGCTGGACAGAATATCTGGCACGATGACCAGTGCTGAGATAACGGAGGGCATTGCTGGACCGGCTGGACAGAACATCATCAACATCTGGCACAATGACCAGTGCTGAGATAACGGAGGGCATTGCTGGACCGGCTGGACAGAACATCTGGCTCGATGACCAGTGCTGAGATAATGGATGCCATGACAAACAGCCCAAGTTGTATAACGACAGACTAAAATGTCACAGATTAGATGAGGTCCCCTTCCGTTAAATACTTTAGCGCTATCTTATCGTTCGAGGGATCTGAATAAAAAATGCTTGCAAAAAATGCACATAAGACAGCAGTACTTAGCCAACTAAAAAACATTTGAGTGACAGAAGAGTTCTCTAGGTGCAAAATTCAAATGTAGCTGATGTGTCCGTCTTCTTATATGGATGTAAAGCATGGACGCCTAATGCAGTTTTCCGGAGACGGATCAAGCCCTATTTTCATTGCATTTAAAAGCTTGCTATTTTAAGGTTTTTATATTTATATTTATATCCACTTTTTTTACTTTCTCGTATATACGAAGTATAGAGAAAGTCTTGTAATCGTGCAAAAAAAAATCGAGATTTTTGCAAATCTCGACGTTTTACACATCACTGATACGGAAAAAGATAATGTTGCAATCTTGTCCGTATGTCTGTGTGTCTGTGTGTGTCTGTGTGTGTGTGTCTGTGTGTGTGTGTGTGTAAACACGATAACTTGAGTACCCTTACAGCTAGGTTGATGAAATTTTATATATAAGTATTTTATCAAAATCGTAGATCCCTATCAACTTTTGAGCGATTTCCGATAACCGGAAGTGGTACTTTTTCTACTTTGAATTTTTAAAAAGCCTATAACTTGATTACTATTTCAGATAGATAAATGAAATTTCACATGTAAGTAAAAGATCTAATTCTCTACCTTCTGTCAAATTTTGAATAATTTCCGTTGACCGGAATGACTAATTTACGCTATTTACAATTTCTCGAAAAACGCAGGAAAATTTATAAAGTACTAATAATATTGCGCACTATTATGCACATTTTGTTTTGGCGTTCACTTGGTGCGCAATTCTTTTTTCTACTAGATTCTATTCTATTTTTAAAAGTTTAAGTAAACAAAAATCATGTCTATATTCCGAGTTGCCATCTAACGTAGTGCTATATTAGAAAATTCGAGAAAGTTTAGGGGAGATCACTCCCGGTTTATTTAAAAATAATGACCAACATGTTATAAACATACAAACAAACTCCAAGGCTAGAAAGTGTGCACTTTTAACGTTTATTTCATAAGGAGCTCATACGTTTGATGCTTTTATGGGTTTCAAATTACATTTATTGTAATGATTTATCAAGATTTGGGCTGAAAATTTAACAGCAAAGTGGCAGAGCTTAACACGTGACACCTCGAGATGTTTACGTGTAGCATTCGCAGAGTGGACATAGGGTGACATTGTCTGCCAGGTAGAGGGTGCAGTTTACGTTGCAAGAGAAAGTCGGACATGGGCGAGTCGGTACCGAGGTGGATGGCACGGTGACGTCAACAGGAGGTGACGTTGTTTGCACGGTGACGTCAACATAAAATGACGTTGTTGGCACGGGGACGTCAACAGGACGTGACGTTGTTGGCACAGTGATGACCACGCTGCTGCGCGCCTTATACTGGCAGACGTAGGAGTGTGACTCACTGGTACTGAAGAAAATCAGGAAGGAGCCGCTTTCACAGTTGGTCTCCTTCCACTTCCCTCCCGCTACGAGGTCAATGACAACGCAGTCCCGGGTGTTGTGGTTGGTGGTGTGGGTGACGGACGTGCTCGCTGGCCCCTCCCCTCCCGCCCAGTCCGTGTAGACGGGGGTCGTCCCGTCCTCCCATTGATAAAGGTTTTCCGTGGCGAGGTCGTTGAGGCCGATCCAAATCTTGCCAGACACCTGGAAGTTGTTGACCAGCTGGTCGTACAGATACTCCTGGACCTCCACTGACTTGACCAGCACCAGAGAGCCGCCATGTTGCTCGCAGTAGGCCCGGGCGGCGGTGTTGGTGCTCTGGCGGTACACGACAAACTGGTAGCAGGTGTCCCCGCGCACCTGCAGGTACCTGTCCCTGGGGACACCGGCGGGACAGTCGTCAATGGTGGCACACGAACCTACGGGAAAATAATGGTGACACATGAACTTAGGGGAAAATAATGGTGACACACTTACATACGGGAAAATAATGGTGACACACGAACTTAGGGGAAAATAATGGTGACACACTTACATAAGGGAAAATAATAGTGACACACGAACATTCAGGAAAATAATGGTGACACACGAACCTAAGGAAAAATAATGGTGGCACACGAACCTACGGGAAAATAATGGTGACACATGAACTTAGGGGAAAATAATGGTGACACAGGAACTTGAGAAAAATAATGGTGACACACGAACTTGGGGAAAATAATGGTGACACACTTACATACGGGAAAATAATGGTGACATACGAACTTGGGGAAAATAATGGTGACCCATGAACCTACGAAAAAATAATGGTGGCACACGAACCTAGGGGAAAATAATGGTGACACATGAACTTAGGGGAAAATAATGGTGACACACGAACTTAGGGGAAAGTAATGGTAACACACATATGTGAAAACAATGGTGAGACACGAACCTAAGGGAAAATAATGGTGACATATGAACTTAGGGGAAAAAAATGGTGACACATGAACTTAGGGGAAAATAATGGTGACACACGAACTTGGGGAAAATAATGGTGACACACGAACCTAGGAAAAAATAATGGTGGCACACGAACCTAGGGGAAAATAATGGTGACACACAAAACTACGGGAAAATAATGGTGACACACGAACCTAGGGAAAAATAATGGTGACACACGAACTTGGGGTAAATAATGGTGACACACTAGTCTAGGGGAAAATAATGGTGACACACGAACCTAGGGAAAAATAATGGTGACACACGAACTTGTGGTAAATAATGGTGACACACTAGCCTAGGGGAAAATAATGGTGACACGTGAACCTACGGAAAAATAATGGTGACACACAAACCTATGGGAAAATAATGGTTACCCAGGAACTTACGAGAAAATAATGGTGACACACGAACCTAAAAGCAAAATAATGGTGACAAAAACATACGAGAAAATAATGGTGACACACCAACCCAAGGGAAAATAATGGTGACGAACATATGGGAAAATAATGGTGACACATGAACTTACGGGGAAATAATGGTGACACATGAACTTAGTGGAAAATAAAAGTGGCACATGTACATTAAGGAAAATAATGGTGACACCCGAACTTAGGGAGAAATAATGGTGACACACGAAACTAGGGGAAAATAATGGTGACACGCGTACAGACGAAAAAATAATGCTGACACACGAGCCTACGGGAATATAATGGTGACACGCGAACCTTGGGAAAAATAATGGTGACACGCGGACCGCAGGGAAAATAATGATTACACACAGACCTTTGATGAATTAATGGTGACACACGAACCTACGGGAAGATAAGGGTGACACACGAACTTAGGGGGAAATAATGGTGACACATTATTCTATTGGAAAATAATGGTGACACACAAACCTACGGGGAAATAATGGTGAACCTACGGAAAAATAATGGTGATACACCAACCTACGAGAAAATAATGGTGGCACACGAACCTATGGGAAAATAATGGTTACCCATGAACTTACGCGAAAATAATGGTAACACGAACCTAAGGGAAAATAATGGTGAAACCGTAACCTACGGAAAAATAATGGTGACACATGAAACTACGAAACAATGATGACACACGAACCTGGGGGAAAATAATGGTGACACGCGAACCTATGAGAAAATAATGGTGAGACACGAACCTAGGGGAAAATAATGGTAAAATGTGAACCTACGGCAAAATAATGGTGAAACCCTAACCTACGGGAAAATAATGGTGACACATGAACCTACGGGAAAATAATGGTGACATAGAAACCTATAGGAAAATTATAGTGATACATGAATCTATGGGAAAATAATGGTGACACACGAACATTTGGGGAAATTATGGTGACACACGAACATTTGGGGAAATAATGGTGACACACGAACATTTGGGAAAATAATGGTGACACATGAACATTTGGGGAAATAATGTTGACACACAAACCTACTGTGAAATAATGGTGACATATAAACCTACATGGGACGGTGTGGCCTAGCTGTAGGGCGCTAGACTGCTAACCTGAAAGTCTCGAGTTCAAATCCAGGTTCAAGTCAATAGAACGTCCTTGATTTCATCCAGCTTTGATAGGTAGCTAACTCCCGTTAGGGAAAGTAAAGGCGGCTGGGCATATTGCTGACCACTCTATCCCTTCATAACCCTGGTTACAGAAATAGGTGAACTCTACTTCACTTGTCCCATGACCCTACGGGAAAATTTTGGAGAGACATTAACCTAGATTAAAATTTTGTTCCAGATCATTAAATTAAAACAATTGATATCGATCTTCTTTGTCATTAAAAATAATTAATTAGTTCGCTGGTTTTTTTACACTACAAAACTTACGAGATTTCAAATTACTACATATAATTTTTGTCTCATGAAATGCGACGAGGAACTTATTGTCTAATTTTCTTAACCCGATGTTAAAAAAACGATCACACTTTGTTCACAGGAACATAACGTATCACCGTATTTTTATAGTAGTGTCAACTACCCTCCATAAAAAAGTGTCAGTATTTGGTAAATGACTTCAGCAATAATTTGGGGTGATTAACTTTCGGTAAACAAGAAAAATGAGTAAATATTAAGTTTATCACATAACAAAAAGATAAAAAAAGAAAAGAGATAATAAATGAGGTAAGAGAAACACAAGAGGAAATAACTAAGGTGAGAAAAACTAGAGATATTAACTGAGGTAAAAGAATACAAAAGGAAATAACTGAGATAAGAGATACATTGGAGAAAATAACTGAGGTGAGAGAAACACAAGAGAAAATAAGTCAGGTGAGAGAAACATAAGAAAGGTGAGAGAAACACAAGAGGAAATAACTGAGGTGAGAGAAACACAAGAGAAAATAAGTCAGGTGAGAGAAACATAAGAAAGGTGAGAGAAACACAAGAGGAAATAACTGAACTGAGAGAGACACATGAAGAAATAACTGAGGTGAGAAAAACTAGAGATATTAACTGAGGTAAGAGAATAAAAAAGGAAATAACTGAGTTAGTAGAAACACAAGAGAAAATAACTGAGGTGAGGGAAACAAAAGGAAAAAATAACTGAGGTGAGAGAAACACAAGAGGAAATAACTGAGGGACTAGAAACACAAGAGGAAATAACTGAGGTAGGAGAAACACAAGAGGAAATAACTGAGGGACTAGAAACACAAGAGGAAATAACTGAGGTGAGAGAAACACAAGAGGAAATAACTGAGGTAGGAGAAACACAAGAGGAAATAACTGAGGTGAGAGAAACACAAGAGGAAATAACTGAGGTAGGAGAAACACAATAGGAAATAACTGAGGTAGGAGAAACACAATAGGAAATAACTGAGGTGAGAGAAACACAAGAGGAAATAACTGAGGTAGGAGAAACACAATAGGAAATAACTGAGGTGAGAGAAACACAAGAGGAAATAACTGAGGTAGGAGAAACACAAGAGGAAATAACTGAGGTGAGAGAAACACAAGAGGAAATAACTGAAGTGAGAGAAACACAAGAAAGGTAAGAGAAACACAATGGGAAATAACTCAGACAAGAGGCGATAACTTTACCGAGATAAACCAGGGTTGAGATGACCAGAAAAGCGAGAGACGCCGCCATCTTGTCTGTGCGCCGAATGAAGAAAAATCAACACACGAACAGTAAGACTTCCATGTCAAAACAAAACCCGAGGCATGTTAAAAGTTGTTCGATCTAGAGAACTAGACAGAAGGCAGGAAACGATAACGAAAACGTGCAATGTCGTCTACAGATGGTCAACTGACTTTCTCAATTTCTGATCAGTTGCAATAAATACACTCATCTATGCAATTTCAAGAAATCTTTTCCTAATTTGTCTAATGTATTCTCTCTCTTTCCCCACCCCCCCCCTCTCTCTCTCTCTCACACACACCAACACACACACACACATATTATATATATATATATATATATATATATATATATATATATATATATATATATACATATATATATACGAGAAAAATGGCCCGTTGAGGAAGGGTACAACGGGCGCTAGGCTGATAGTGCTGTCTCTTTTCTCTAAACTAAAACCAACCCACCCCCCCACACACCACCCCCACCCCACCCCCCCACCCCCACACACCACCCCCCACACACCACCCCCACACACCACCCCCACCCCCACCCCCCACCACCCCCACCCCTCACCCCCACACACCACCCCCTCCACACACCGCCCCCCACCCCTTACCCCCCCCCCAAAAAAAAAAACATGTCTACGAAATATAATTATATACTTTTTCCAGTGTCCGCCCCCTCCCAGAAAATTCTACCCCCGCCCCCGAAAATTTCAAGTACCCCCACCCCTCTCCGGGGAGGAAAAAGTCTGAAAGAAACACTGAAACCAACCCACCCCCACCCCCCCACACACCACCCCCCCCCACACACCACCACCCCCCACCCCTCCACCACCCCCCACCCCCAAAAAAAACATGTCTACCGTCCCATTCAACGAAATATAATTATATACTTTTTCCAGTGTCCGCCCCCTCCCAGAAAATTCTACCCCCGCCCCCGAAAATTTCAAGTACCCCCACCCCTCTCCGGGGAGGAAAAAGTCTGAAACACTGAAACCAACCCACCCCCCCACACACCACCCCCACCCCCCCACCCCCACCCACCCCCCCCACACACACACACCCCACCCCTCCACCACCCCCCACCCCCACCCCCCCCCCCCCCCACCCCCCAAAAAAAAACATGTCTACCGTCCCATTGCAAGAAAACCACTTTTTAGATTAGACACATTAATTAGGCGGTAATTTTATTATAGAGTATCGATGAGGAAATTTCTTTTGAGTTGGAGAGGGGGGGGGGGCTCAGACGTTCTTTTGCGGGGGGTGGGGCTTCGCCCCTACCCGAAGAATTGTATGCAAGAAACTCTTCACGCAAACCATTTAGATTAGACAACATTTCCTTTTTATTCAATGTTTACGCGATAATCAATGACGTCATTATATTACTGTGTGCACTTTCCGCCTTGAGATTATTTTCAACTCTATGCTAAATGTGTCGACGTCATACTTCGTTTTTCGAAATACTATGCATGTTTTTAATTTCCTTGTGTTTTCTCTAGAGCGTTCTTGTCAGACAGAGCGTTCTTGTCAGACAGAGCGTTCTTGTCAGACAGACAGCGAAACTATTATTATAGATATATAAAGTTGAAAATTCTGTATGTATGTAATTATGTTTGTCGTGAATTACAAAGGAATATAAGAAAATACGCTACTTCCATGGATTCCAAAGTTAGATAATTAAAGCGCTCATGGTCTAAAAGCATGGTTTTAAAAATTAATACTGAAAGTGTTGGGAAATAATTTTCATTTTTCAAACTGTTAGCAATAATTGTCGGCATGGTCATTAAACAAAATTTAAAAGAAATGTCATCTTTTACAAAAATTCTAATTATGTCTGAAACTTATTTATATTTAGTCCTCTAGCACTTACTTCCCTTTGATAAATTAGGAAAACACAATTACTTACCTTTATAAAACATTAGTGGAAAAGAAGTTACTTTTTATTACTTTGTTTTGGTGTTTGGGAAAAAAAAGAATTACATAATTAGCACGGTTCGTCAGGTCTTCTCCACAACCTCCTTACTGAAAAGTAGAAAATAAAACAACTAAATAGCGGCGTATGATATGCCGCAGGTCGGCTCGTAATAAATAATAGGATAGGTTTTGTTTACATTAAACGCACGAGGTCAGCCCAGGTGTGTTCTCAGTGAGATTGTTTTCTTTTGTTGACGTTAATTTTTCTTAGATGGTTAGCCCATAAATTAAGGTGTGCAGTGGGAGCCACCATCTAAGGGGGTGAGTTCTTATGGTGACACCGTCTAAGGGGTGAGATCATATGATGACACGACACCATCGAGTTAGCCAATAAATCGCCAACGTTGATTTGAGTGTGTAGTACTCGGCCCAGGTTAAGCTCAGTGGGTTATTTAAAGTTTCGAATTGTTGTTGGCAGGTAGCAGAGTTGGTTGACTTAGTACAGTAACGACAGCAGCAAGTGTAAGGTGGACACTCACATGATGGGGACATGTTTAGTGTAAGGTGGACACTCATATGATGGGGACATGTTTAGTGTAAGGTGGACACTCACAGGATGGGGACATGTTTAGTGTAAGGTGGACACTCACATGATGGGGACATGTTTAGTGTAAGGTGGACATTCACAGGATGGGGACATGTTAAGTCCCGCATCATCCCTCTATCCAGCCACTCTCCCTCTGTCACCTTATCCTCCCACTAACCCCTCACCCTCCCACTAACCCCTCACCCTTCCATTAACCCCTCACCTCCGAGTAACCCCACAGCCTCCAACTAACCCCCCACCCTCCAACTAACCCCCACCCTCCAACTAACCCCCACCCTCCCACTGATCCTTCACCCTCCCACTAACCCCTCATCTTGCTACTTTTGTAGTTCATATACTCGAATAATAGAAAAATAAACTGTAAACGAGCAATCTAATGAGACAAGCTGCATTCCCGTGCTCCGCCACGGTACATCTTTTTTAAATGTACCAACTTGGGAACAGAACAAAACTAAACACAGCACAGCACAAACACAACACAAAGAAACCACTAACAAAACACTAACAAAACACAAACACAAACACAACACAACACAAACACAACCACAACCACAACCACAACCACAACCACAACCACAACACAACCACAACACAACACAAAGACAACACAACACAACACAAACACAACACAAACACAACACAAACACAACACAAACACAACACAAAGACAAAACCAAAAGAAAAAACAAACCCAAAAGAAAACGGAAATCCAAAAGAAACTACAAACACAAAGAAAACATAAAAATATACACCTCAAGTCTTATGACGTACAACTTGTATTTATGTGTCACATTCACACAAAGAGCAGCCGGTGGTCGGGTCCTTCTTAAAGCCGTTCATGCCGCAATCCAGGTCACAGGAGAAGGGTGGGCAGGGGTTGGTGATGGTGGACACGATAGTCTGGGTCGCGGGGGTCACTTCTGTGCTGGACACAGTGTAGAGGAGCCAACAGAGGTCCAACAACGATCCTCCCGGGGTCGTTGGGATAGATATGATTCATATCACATGTATGTTGGGGGGCGTGGGGATAAAGAGTTGACTTGTGTCGCCTAGATGATTAACTGCGTTTCTTTTTTTTTTAACAATGACCAACATGTTATAAACAAACTCCAAGGCAAGAAAGTGTGCACTTTAAACGTTTATTTTATAAGGAGCTCATGCGCTTGATGCTTTTATGGTTTTCAAATTACATTTCTTGTAAGGATTTATCCAGATTTGGGCTGCATGTTGTACCACAAACAAAATGGCAGAGCTTAACACGTGACACCTACAGATGTTCAAGTGGAGCATTCGCAGAGTGGACATCTGGTGGCATTGTCTATCACGAAGGTGCTGCAGCCTAAGTCGCAAGAGAAAGGCGGACATGGGTGAGTCAGCTCCGAGGTGGATGACACGGTGATGTTGAAAGGAGGTGGAGTCTGCTCCTCTACGTCTGCCATATACTGGCAGACGTAGGAGTGTGACTCACTGGTACTGAAGAGAATCAGGAAGGAGCCGCTTTCACAGTTGGTCTCCTTCCACTTCCCTCCCGCTACGAGGTCAATGACCACGCAGTCCCGGGTGTTGTGGTTGGCGGTGTGGGTGTAGGACGTGCTCGCTGGCCCCTCCCCTCCCGCCCAGTCCGTGTAGACGGGGGTCGTCCCGTCCTCCCATTGATAAAGGTTTTCCGTGTCGAGGTCGTTGAGGCCGATCCAAATCTTGCCAGACACCTTGAAGTTGTTGACCAGCTGGTCGTACAGATACTCCTGGACGTCCACTGACTTGACCAGCACCAGAGAGCCGCCATGTTGCTCGCAGTAGGCCCGGGCGGCGGTGTGGGTGTTGTGGCGGTACACGACGAACTGGTAGCAGGTGTCCCCGCGCACCTGCAGGTACCTGTCCCTGGGGACACCGGCGGGACAGTCGTCAATGGTGGCACACGAACCTACGGGAAAATAATGGTGACACATGAACTTAGGGGAAAATAATGGTGACACACTTACATACGTGAAAACAATGGTGACACACACATACGTGAAAATAATGGTGAAACATGAACTTAGGGGAAAATAATGGTGACACACGAACTTAGGGGAAAATAATGGTGACACACTTACATACGGGAAAAAAATGGTGACACATGAACTAGGGGAAAATAATGGTGACACACGAACTTAGGGGAAAATAATGGTGACACACTTACATACGGGAAAATAATGGTGACACATGAATCTACGGGAAAATAATGGTAACACATGAAACGACGGGAAAAAATGGTGACACACACATACGTGAAAACAATGGTGACACACGAACCTATGGGAAAATAATGGTGACACACGAACAATGGGAAAATAATAATGACACACACATAGGTGAAAACAGTGGTGACACACGAACCAAAGGGAAAATAATGGTGACACACAAACCTACTGAAAAATAACGGTCTAACAAAAACCTTAACAAAAATAATGGTGACACACAAACCTATGGGGAAATAATGGTGACACACGAACAATGGAAAAATAATGGTGACACAAAAACCTAAAGGAAAATACTGGTGACAAGCGTACATAAGGGGAAATAATGGTGACACACGAACCTATGGGGAAATGATGGTGACACACGAACTTAGGGAAAAATAATGGTGACACATGAACTTACGGTAAAATAATGTTGACACACGAACTTAGCGGAAAATAATGGTGACACACGCACATTAAGGAAAAAAATGGTGACACCCAAACTTAGGGGGAAATAATGGTGACACACGAAACTAGGGGAAAATAATTGTGACACGCGTACAGACGAAAAAATAATGGTGACACACGAGCCTACGGGAAAATAATGGTGACACGCGAACCTTGGGAAAAATAATGGTGACACGCGGACCTAAGGGAAAATAATGGTGACACACAGACCTATGATGAATTAATGGTGACACACGAACCTACGGGAAAATAATGATGATACACGAACTTAGGGAAAAAAATGGTGACACATTAATCTATGGGAAAATAATGGTTACCCATGAACCTTTGGGAAAATAATGGTCAAATACAAACCTTAACGAAAATAATGGTGACACACGAACCTACGGGTAAATAATGGTAACACACGAACCTAAGGTAAAATAATGGTGACATACGAAGAATGGGAAAAAAATGATCACACACACATACGTGAAAACAATGGTGACACACGAACCTACTGAAAAATAACGGTCTAACAAAAACCTTAACGAAAATAATGGTGACACACAAACCTATGGGGAAATAATGGTGACACACGAACAATGGGAAAATAATTGTGACACAAAAACCTAAGGGAAAATAATGGTGACACGCGTACATAAGGGAAAATAATGGTGACACACGAACCTACGGGAAAATAATGGTAACACACGAACCTACGGGAAAATAATGATGACACACGAACCTATTGGAAAATAATAATTTATTAATAGTGAAACACGAATCTACGGAAAAATAATGGGACACACAAACCTATGGGAAAACAATGGTGACACACGAACCTTTGGGAAAATAATGGTCAAATACAAACCTTAACAAAAATAATGGTGACACACGAACCTACGGGAAAATAATGGTAACACACCAACATTAGGGAAAATAATGGTGACAAACGAACCAACGCGAAAATAATGGTGACACACGAGCCTATTGAAAAATAATGGTGACACACGAACCTACGGAAAAATAACGGTCAAACACAAACCTTAACGAAAATAATGGTGACACACAAACCTATGGGGAAATAATGGTGACACACGAACAATGGGAAAATAACGGTGACACACGAACCTTGGGAAAATAATGGTGACACACGAACCTTGGGAAAATAATAATAGTGACACATTAAACAAAATAGTACGGCTTGGCCAAGCGGTAGAACTCTAGACTGCTAACCCGAAAGTCTCGAGTTCGAGAATCCGGGTTCAATTCAGTGGAAAGTCCCTGAGTCCACCCAACTCTGAGGGCTACCTGACTCACGTTAGGGAAAGTAAAGACGATGGGCATAGTTCTGAGCACACTTTCCCTTCTATCACTATAACTCTGCTTCACTTGCCCCACCTACCGTCAGGTTCGAAAAGAGATCTTTACAAGAACCTACGGGATATTAATGATTTCACATTATTGTTCCAAATCATTGAATTACAACATTTCCAAGCGATGTCATTAAAGGATATATTTAATTAGATCGCTGATTGTTGTTTTTGTTTTTTACACAACACTTCCGATCTTTCAATTTATCACATATACATTGTCTCATGAAATGTTCCAAGAAACGTTTTGTATAATTCTGTTCACAGGAACAGTAGGTCACATAACCTATCACTGTATCTTTATAGTAGTGTCAACTACCCGCCCAACAAGACTAACAACATATTAAGATTAAATAACTGAGGTTACAGAAACACAAGAGAAAATAACTGAGGTAAGAGAATCACAATAGAAATAACTGAGGTTAGTGAAACAAGAGAGAATAACTGAGGTAAGAGAAATACAAGATAAAGTAATTGAGTTAAGAGAATCACAAGAGAAATAACTGAGGTAAGAGAATCACAATAGAGAATAATTGAATTAAGAAAAATACAAGAGAATATAGCTGAGCTGAGAGAAACACAAGAAAGGTAAGAGAAACACAAGATGAGATAACTCAGACAAGAGGAAATAACTCAGACAAGAGGAGATAACTTTACCGAGATAAACCAGCGTTGAGATGACCAGAAAAACGAGAGACGCCGCCATCTTGTCTGTGCGCCGAATGAAGAAAAATCAACCCACGAACAGTAAGACTTCCATATCAAAACAAAACCCGAGGCATGTTAAAAGTTGTTCGAACTAGAGAACTAGACAGAAGGCAGGAAACGATAACAAAAACGTGCAATGTCGTCTACAGATGGTCAACTGACTTTCTCAACTGTCGCCCACTGCATAGGCCTGTGTTACTTTAATCATCATCGTAAACTTCTGATCTGTTGCAATAAATACACGCATCTATAAAATTTCAAGAAATCTTGGCATAATTTGTCTAATTTATTCTCTCTCTCCCATACATACACACACACACACACACACACATATATATATATATATATATATATATATATATATATATATATATATATATATATATATATATATATATATATATATACATATATATATATATATATATATATATATATATATATATATATATATATATATATATATATATATATATATATATATATATATATATATATATGTGTGTGTGTGTGTGTGTGTGTGTGTATGTATGTGTATAGGCCTATAGTGTTGCTGTAGACTTATAACTAATGTCGAATGAATCTTTCAACACTTGAGTGCGAGCACATGTGACCCTAACATATGCAAATCTTCCCACGCCAAAAAAATTCTACCGAGTTCCGGAAGCTTCTATTTTATCTCTTGACGGCAGACGAGACTTCCATTCATCCAATATGGCGGTTGTTGATGCTCTTCTTGTAGTCCTGGCGACGTCGCTTTTGGTGCAGTATGGTAATTTCTCTTTTTTATTGTTAAACATTATCAGTTTTTGTTATTAAGTTATCCATAAAGAAAACACACGGCAACTTCACACGGCCGATGTTTAGGGGCTAAACAAGCAAATGCTCACGTTAGGAATGATGTAAGGGACCTATTCCTCCAAAAGATTAGCGTTAGGATTTTGGTTGGAAATGGCATGCCAGTGCCTGGAACGAAGACACAATGGACATAGACTGTCTGCAGGTCTCACCAAGAGTGAACTCATTGAATTATTTAACTGTTTACAGCATGTTTTAAATAGCTTTAGTATTGGTGTCGTCTTTGTTTATTTTTACACTAACAACTCTAAATAGGAGATTTCTTCGTTTTTATGAGTCCAGAAGATTTTTTAGAGAAACAACGGCTTTACAAACAGTAACTAAAATAATGGAATTTTATGTTTTTATACAAGAACTTAAAAGCTTGTTATACAGGGTGTACTCGTTTAAACGTTAGTTCGTTCTTAATTTAGGCGGCACCAAAAAAAAAATGTTTTTCTTTAAAAACCAGATCAGTATCTAGCGATATATTAATTTTAAAAGACAATTACCTGTTCCTTACTGCCGTCCACGGTTGGCTCTCATGTTGGTACTCATCGATCGTGAACACAAGCTCACCCGAGAGTTGTCGTTACTACTTCATTATCTCCCTTTTTGTTATTGAATAAAGTGTTAAAACTAGATATTATTACGTTGTGATCCAAGATGTACTAATCTGGAAAGTTTGAAATGGCCACAAACCCACACACAGACAGATATAGACCATTAGCTTAAAATAAAGTTCTTAAAAGCTTGTAGTAAAATCAAATTTAACCTTATATGGTCATCTCTAGAATTGTTATTACTGTGTTACATGCATGTATTATATGCTTTATATATATTTTTTCAGGTGCATCCATAACGTTGGATGACTGCCCTGCTGCCCTTGCAAGAGACAGGTACCTGCAGGTGCACGGCGACCTGTGTTACGAGTTTGTGGTCTACCGCCAGGTCGCCCACGCAGAAGCCGAGTCGGACTGTGAGAAAAACGGCGGGACGCTGGTGCTGATCAAATCAGCCGAGACCCAGGACTACGTCACCCACCAGCTGACAGACGTGTACAGGGAGCACCACTCTGTCTGGATCGGCCTCGATGACATACTGACCGAGAACACGTACCTGTGGGAGGACGGGACGCCCGTCACCTACAGCCACTGGGCCAGCGGTAACGGACCCGATGCGTCCGGTCTTCTCCACAACCTCCAGCACGACAGAAAGGACTGCGTGGCTCTGGACGCCAGGGACGGGGGGAAATGGAAGGAGTTCTCGTGCGAGTCCACTAACTTCCTGGTCATACTCTCCACCAACGAGAGACACAGCTACGTCTGCCAGTACCTCCCCGGGGCGCAGGTGACCGTAGCAGCGACCGAGTCCACGCTTCTGACCCACACCCTGCCCGCGGGGACCACGATGTCCTCCATCACCCACCCCTGTCCACCCATGTCCTGCAACATCCACTGCAGTGTCTATAAAAAGGACCCCGTGACTGGTTGTGTGGTGTGTGAATGTGAGGCATAAATCAATCTCTGTTGATTACCTGTCTTTTTTTAAAAATAAATTGAGCTGTTATTTTATTTGTTTTGTTTTTAGAATATTGATATATATCCAACATTGTCTAAACAAAGACAATTGGTAGAAACTATTGATTTTAGGGTGAAACTGTCGCCAATGTAAGCCTTTATAAAATGGCTGTAATGAATATATCTCATTAGATTGCTTGTTTACAGTTTATTCTTCTATTATTCGAGTATTTGAAATACAGAAGTAGAAAGATGAGGGGTTAGTGGGAGGATGAAGGGTAAGTGAGAGGGTGGGGGGTTAGTGGGAGGGTGAGGGGCTAGTGAGATGGTGAGGGGGTTAGTGGGAGGGTGTGGGGTTAGTGGGAGGGTGAGGGGCTAGTGAGATGGTGAGGGGGTTAGTGGGAGGGTGTGGGGTTAGTGGGAGGGTGTGGGGTTAGTGGGGGTGAGGGGTTAGTGGGAGGGTGAGGGGTAAGTGAGAGGGTGGGGGTTAGTGGGAGGGTGATGGGTTAGTGGGAGGGTGAGGGGTTAGTGGGAGGGTGAGGGGTAAGTGAGAGGGCGGGGGTTAGTAAGAGGGTGAGGGGTTAGTCGGAGGGTGAGGGGTTAGTGGGAGGGTGTGGGGTAAGTGAGAGGGCGGGGGTTAGTAAGAGGGTGAGGGGTTAGTGGGGGGTGAGGGGTTAGTGGAAGGGTGTGGGGTAAGTGAGAGGGCGGGGGTTAGTAAGAGGGTGAGGGGTTAGTGGGGGGTGAGGGGTTAGTGGGAGGGTGAGGGGTTAGTGGAAGGGTGAGGGGTTAGTGGGAGGGTGAGGGGTTAGTGGGAGGGTGAGGGGTTAGTGGGAGGGTGAGGGGTTAGTGAGAGGGTGAGGGGTTAGTGGGAGGGTGAGGGGTTAGTGGAAGGGTGAGAGGTTAGTGTGAGGATAAGGTGACAGAGGGAGAGTGGCTGGATAGAGGGATAATGCTGGTCTAAACATGTCCCCATCATGTGAGTGTCCACCTTACACTAAACATGTCCCCATCCTGTGAGTGTCCACCTTACACTAAACATGTCCCCATCATGTGAATGTCCACCTTACACTAAACATGTCCCCATCATGTGAGTGTCCACCTTACACTAAACATGTCCCCATCATGTGAGTGTCCACCTTACACTAAACATGTCCCGATCCTGTGAGTGTCCACCTTACACTAAACATGTCCCCATCATGTGAGTGTCCACCTTACACTAAACATGTCCCCATCCTGTGAGTGTCCACCTTACACTAAACATGTCCCCATCATGTGAATGTCCACCTTACACTAAACATGTCCCCATCATTTGAATGTCCACCTTACACTAAACATGTCCCCATCATTTGAATGTCCACCTTACACTAAACATGTCCCCTTCATGTGAATGTCCACCTTACACTAAACATGTCCCCATCCTGTGAGTGTCCACCTTACACTTAACATGTCCCCATCCTGTGAGTGTCCACCTTACACTAAACATGTCCCCATCATGTGAGTGTCCACCTTACACTAAACATGTCCCCATCATGTGAGTGTCCACCTTACACTAAACATGTCCCCATCATTTGAATGTCCACCTTACACTAAACATGTCCCCATCATTTGAGTGTCCACCTTACACTAAACATGTCCCCATCATTTGAATGTCCACCTTACACTAAACATGTCCCCATCATTTGAATGTCCACCTTACACTAAACATGTCCCTTTCATGTGAGTGTCCACCTTACACTAAACATGTCCCCATCCTGTGAGTGTCCACCTTACACTAAACATGTCCCCATCATGTGAATGTCCACCTTACACTAAACATGTCCCCATCATGTGAATGTCCACCTTACACTAAACATGTCCCCATCATGTGAGTGTCCACCTTACACTAAACATGTCCCCATCATTTGAATGTCCACCTTACACTAAACATGTCCCCATGTTTAATTTATGGGCCAACTATCTAAGAAAAGTTAACGTCAACAAGAGAAAATAATTTCATTGAAAACAGAACTGGGCTGACCAGAGGAGTGAAAGGCGCCGGATCATCGAGGGGAGAAGGGTCACTGAGAGGAGAAGGTCACTGAGAGGAAAAGAGTCACTGAGAGGAGAAGGTCACTGAGAGGAGAAGGTCACTGAGAGGAGAAGGGTCACTGAGAGTAGAAGGTCACTGAGAGGAGAAGGTCACTGAGAGGACAAGGGTCACTGAAAGGAGAAGGTCACTGAGAGGAGAAGGTCACTGTGAGGAGAAGGTCACTGAGAGGAGAAGGTCACTGAGAGGAGAAGGTCACTGTGAGGAGAAGGTCACTGAGAGGAGAAGGTCACTGAGAGGAGAAGGGTCAATGAAAGGAGAAGGGTCACTGAGAGGAGAAGGTCACTGAAAGGAGAAGGGTCACTGAGAGGAGAAGGTCACTGAGAGGAGGTCACTGAGAGGAGAAGGTCACTGAGAGGAGAAGGTCACTGAGAGGAGAAGGTCACTGAGAGGAGAAGGGTCACTGAGAGGAGAAGGTCACTGAAAGGAGAAGGGTCACTGAGATGAGAAGGTCACTGAGAGGAGAAGGTCACTTAGAGGAGAAGGGTCACTGAGAGGAGAAGGTCACTGAGAGGAGAAGGTCACTGAAAGGAGAAGGGTCACTGAGAGGAGAATGTCACTGAAAGGAGAAGGGTCACTGAGAGGAGAAGGTTACTGAGAGGAGAAGGTCACTGAAAGGAGAAGGGTCACTGAGAGGAGAAGGTTACTGAGAGGAGAAGGTCACTGAGAGGAGAAGGTCACTGAGAGGAGAAGGTCACTGTGAGGAGAAGGTCACTGAGAGGAGAAGGTCACTGAGAGGAGAAGGTCACTGAGAGGAGAAGGTCACTGAGAGGAGAAGGTCACTGAGAGGAGAAGGTCACTGAGAGGAGAAGAGTCACTACACGAGCAAGGCGAATAACCGAAGTTTTTCAAGTTGCACGAGGTAAATAAAATGTACGCGAGAATTAGACAGAAGGCAGGCTACGATAAAGTTTATCTACTGTGTTAGTGATTTTTATGTCAACTATCAGCGGGTCATTATAATTTCGTATGTGTTCTTATGTCAAAAAGGAAAGTGGGTTGGCCAAAGAGATCATGGAGAAGAATAGTAGAGGGAGAGGCAAAGACCGCTGGGCTCACGTGGGCACAGATAAGGGGAGCAGCCCAAAACCGAGTCCGGTGGAGAGGTGTAACTGCAGCCCTTTGCTGCACACAGACCACAAAGAAAACATGAATGAATGTTTGATGAATGCTCTTATGTCTCCCTGCTTCTGTCTTTCTCTTCTCTCATACATACAGGGCCGGAGCCAGGTCATTTAGGGCCCTAGGCAAAACTTTTTACAACGATACCCCCCCCCCCCCGGTAATCACATACTCATCTGAAATGTTCGAAATTAAAAGAATTACATTAATAAATACAATAATTATCTCATTATATTAACAGAGGCGTGGCTATGGGAGGGCGGATGGAGCGACCGCCACATTTGTTGACCCAAAGGGGTGCTAACAATACATAGATAGATAGGTAGATACTAATATAAAAATCTAATTACTGAATTATATACAGTTGAAATAAAGAATGTTGACTGCTACTTGGCATTATGAATATTCAATTGTTTTTTTTACATCAATTGTGTGAAACCAAAATAAAAAGGCTAAGTCAGAGGCGTCGCAAGGCGGATGTGGGGGGTGCAGACCGCCCCGGGTGACACCATAAGGGGTGACAAAAAAAATAATTGCAAAATATATAGATAAAACATTGTCTTGCCAGTTCAATTAATGCTTAATTAGAGTGAAATAGTCTTTTAAATTAAAATTGGCAAATCCCTACAATAGCGGGGAGGTGACACCATGACGCAAACCTGCTAACTATAGAGAAAACAATGCTACATCCAACTGTATTAATAACCTACTATAGATAAACATCGTTACAACTGTACACATTATAAAGCTATCAACCAGAAGTGACAACAACCGCAAAATTTACAGAGGAAAAGTTGTTCAGTTTAATATTGTCAGTTACTGTTAATTAAAGTCAATCAACGACCAGGGTGGTGCTGTCACCATATCTAATAATTTACTATGTAAACGTTGCTTAATATACATATATATATATATATATATATATATATATATATATATATATATATATATATATATATATATATATAGCCTATACATTGATTTGGTGGTGGGGGGGGGGGGGCATGAGGTTCCGCACCGGGTGACACCTGACCTAGAGACTCCACTGGGCAAAGTGACTGGTAAAAAGCGCCCCGACCTTTCCATACGAGTTACATGGAGGGGGACATATATATATATACGTGGGGGATATATATATATATATGTATATATATATATATATATATATATATATATATATATATATATATATATATATATATATATATATATATATTTAGTCTTATAAATAGTCATGTTATATATAAATGTAAATGATATATATAAAAGACTTGAAGACTTAAAAAGTGCGAGTGACCGTAACATGTGCGTGTCTTCTCAAGACAAAAACTTGAGTTGTGAGACGGCAGGAACCAGACGTGATATCATTCTGTCAACATGACCATCATGGACGGTGTTCTTCTGCTTCTGGGAACCTCACTTTTCATTCATTATGGTAATATCTCTTTATTCATTGATGAGTTCTGTTTGTAAATTATATGTTTACTGGTGGTACAGGAAAGCATTGTCCTCGTTCTTGAGCAGCACTTCCATGACAGAAGGTGTTAAGATCTGACACTAGAGATAAGGTTTTGTTACGTTTGACTTCATCTTCTGGGGAGCCAAGGGCCGCAACTTCCCATACGGATTTTCATCAGTATAGCCTGCTAAACCCGCAGCCTCTTTGTTAGCTTTCAGCAGTTCTCCTCCTGGATGTTCTAAGTCTACCCACTTATCTTTTCCCTTGTCGGTTCCATCCTAACGATTTTCTTCAGTTCTCTAATTCAGTTAAAATGATAAAATGCAAATAATATATGTAAATAATCTGCTATAAACGACAAAATTTTAAAAAGAAAATCATCTAACTTTATATATATATATGCATACAGTATTATATATATATATATATATATATATATATATATATATATATATATATATATATATATATATATATATGTGTATATATATATATATATATATATATATATAATGTTTGTGTGTATCCTACATATATATATGTGTGTAATTTAGTTGTGTGTATATACTCTCCAGGTGTATCCATAACGTTGGACGACTGCCCTGCTAGCCTGGTGAGAGACAGGTACCTGCAGGTACACGGCGACCTGTGCTACGAGTTCATCGTGTACCGTCAGAGCATCCACCTAGCGGCCAAGTCCGACTGTGAGATCAACGGGGGGAGCCTGGTGTTCATCAAGTCCGCCGAGACCCAGCAGTACCTCACCCACCAGCTTGAGCACACCTACAAAGAGCATCAGTCTATCTGGATCGGACTCGATGACATCGAGAGTGAGAACACTTTTAAATGGGAGGACGGGACGCCCCTGACCTACAGCCACTGGGCACCTGGTAACGGACCGACTGCTTCCGGGGCACACCCTGCCCAGCATGAGAGCAAGGACTGCGTTGCTATGGATACCAGAGACGGGGGGAAGTGGAAAGAGTTCCCGTGCGAGTCCACCGATATTCTGGTGATCGTGTCGACAAACGAAAGACACAGTTACGTCTGCCAGTACGACCCAAGTGCTGTGGTGTCGCAGGTGACCCTGCCCGCGGGGACCACTATGTCTTCCATCACCCACCCCTGCCCGCCCTTGTCCTGCATTGACCACTGCAGTGTCTACAAGAGGGACCCTGTGACCGGATGTTTTCTGTGTGAATGTGAAGCATAAATAAATATCTGTAATGACAACCCTGGTTTAAAAGGTGCCCTGTATTTTTAAAGCTACGTGGGCTGGATAGTAAAAAAAAATTTGAAACGAACTTATTGTCTCGCATGTGTTACCACAGTCAGCCTTATACGCAAGATTGTTGGTTGTTTTTTTCAAATGTCATGATGACCGTTTAAAAATACTATGTGTGTGGGTTTGTGTTGATATTGTGTAACTAAGGTTAGAAACATTTCTAGCAGAGCGGTTTCTTTTAAACTTTTCAGGTATGTGCAACGCCGATGATAGTGAGATATTAAATTAATCATTAAAGATTGATGTTAAGATTACTTAATTAAATTAGAAGAGGGAAGATGGCGAGGTAGTAGCGATCATTCAATCAGAAAGGTAGAAGCAATCACACAATCAGCCAGGTAGTAGCAATTACACAATCAGCCAGGTAGTAGCAATCACACAATCAGCCAGGTAGTAGCAATCATATATATATATATATATATATATATATATATATATATATATATATATATATATATATATGTATATATATATATATATATATACAAGACAAAGTTTATAACAATGACCAATGGGTAAATAATTAAAAACAAAACAAATGTAACGTACCTAGTTTTTTTAATCATCGTCATAAACCAAGTTACCTTAATAATTTCTTTAAAAGTTACATAATTAGAATTAATCAAATTTGACAATTAACGTATATTAGAATGGTCATACTGTGCTTAAAGTCTGGAAAGCTAAATATAAGAAAAATATTATTTATAAGCATACTGAAGAGTTTAAACAGTGTTTGGGACACTGTGTCGATGACATGTTTACAGTTATGCAATTGGTCACTGTGTCAATGACATGTTTTTAGTTATGCTATGGGTCAGTGTGTCAATGACATGTTTACAGTTATGCTATGGGTCACTGTGTCAATGACATGTTTACAGTTATGCTTTGGGCCACTTTGTCAATTATGTGTGCAATTTTTCTTGTTACAGTTCAGTAAATATGGGTTGCAGGTTTTTATTCCAACACTCCGTCTGTTGGGTGTATAGAGATCTGTATTTGGCCACCGTGTCACTTTCTTGTGTAGAGTTAAGTTTTTGGCCAACATGTTAATTAGACGTAAACAGTTCATTCATTGACCACTGTGTTAATTAAATGTAGGCCTACACAGTTCTGTTTTTGGCCACTGTTTTAATTAGGTGTGCACATATCTTTGTCAGCTAATGACTGGGCGCTAGAATATTGGGTTCATATTCGTTTTTTGGGATTTCCATTTCTGGGTAGGCTGCTGTTTGTTTTTTTGCAGGTTGGCTTTCTTCTGCTTGTACTAATTGCTAGTTGGTATTGTCGATGAGGCTAGAAACTAAAGTGCTGTCGGGTTGCGGCTGTTTGCTGATTCATTACTGGTTGGGCGAGTGACTTGCGGATAACTGCTGATTCTCGGTCGTGCGGGATGCTTGTCGGCTAGCGGACCAACTGGATAGCTGTTGACTAATTAGTTTGCTGCTAATTAGATGGCGGCAGGTTTGTTGACATGTATATGGCTGGCGTCTTGATCGTGGACGTGTAGGCTAGCTAGTAAAGCGTTGATGATTTATAAGCTGGCGTCATTTTTGTTGAGAGCTAGCAGGCTATATGTTGAAGATTAGAAGCCTGGCAGCTGGTTGGCTGTGGGTTAGTGAATCGGCTGATAACGGACGCTAGACATGTTGGTTGTGGGCTTGAGGCTCGCTGGTAATACGTTGATGGATGGTTGGCTGGTGTCTACTTTGTTATTTGATTTTGGGCTGATAATGTTTTGACATATAATAGGTTGACGTCCATTTTCTTGTTGGTAATACATTGACTGATAATAGGCTGGCTTCTTCTTGGTTGTGGGCTTGTGAGCTGACTGAAAAATTATGGTTGAATTTTATTTTACTGCTTCTTTTTATATATCGTAATATTATAAAACAATAAATCCTAATCGGATTGATTACTATGCAAGACCAAAAATATATTGCTTCTGTTGTACATTGCTAACCATAAACAGTATTGAATATTTATTATCGCTGAGAGCTAAACTGTGAAAACTGGGCGTTAAGAGTTAGGAACTCACCATTTATTTCTGAGTGCTAAATCTTTCTGTCAGTTGTGTTGCAGGATTCTTGTTGGGTTGTAGAATTCTTATTGGCTTGCTTAATTCTTGAAGGGTTGCATAATTCGTGATGTGTTGCAGGATTCATGATGGGTTGCAGGATTCTTGTGGGTTGCAAAAAATCTTGTTAAGTTGCAGAATTCTTGTTTTTGGCAGGATTCATGTTGGGTTGTAGAAATCTTGTTGGGTTGCAGAAATCTTGTTGGGTTGTAGAGATCTTGTTGGGTTGCAGAAATCTTGTTGGGTTGTAGAGATCTTGTTGGGTTGCAGAAATCATGTTGGTTTGCAGAAATCTTTTCTTTTTGCAGGCCACTGTGTCAATGACATGTTTACGGTTATGTTTTGGGCCACTGTGTCAATGACATGTTTACAGTTAAGTTTTGGGCCACTGTGTCAATGATGCGTTTACAGTTATGCTTTGGGCCACTGTGTCACTAACGTGTTTACAGTTATGCTTTGGGCCACTGTGTCACTAACGTGTTTACAGTTATGCTTTGGGCCACAGTGTCAATGATGTGTTTACAGTTATGCTTTGGGCCACTGTGTCAATTTTTCTTGTTACAGTTCAGTAAATATGTGATGCAGGATTCATTATGGGTTGCAGGATTCTTTTGGGTTGCAAAAAATCTTGTTGGGTTGCAGAATTCTTGTTTTTGGCAGGATTCTTGTTGGGTTGAAGAAATCATGTTGGGTTGCTGAAATCATGTTGGATTGCAGAAATCTTGTTGGGTATTAGAAATCATGTTGGGTTGCAGAAATCATGTTGGGTTGCAGAAATCTTGTTAGGTTGCAAAACCTTGTTGGGTTGCATAAATCTTGTTGGGTTGCATAAATCTTGTTGGGTTGCATAAATCTTTTCTTTTTTGCAGGATTAGTGTTCGGTTGCAAAAATCATGTTGGGTTGTAGAAATCTTGTTGGGTTGCAGAAATGAAATCGTATTGGGTCATAGAAATATTTTCTTTTTTTTGCAGGATTCGTGTTGGGTTGCAGAAATCATGTAGGTTGCAGAAATCATGTTGGGTTGCAGAAATCTTGAATTTTTTGGTAGATTCTTGATGGGTTGCATGATTCTTGTTGAAAAATTGTTGATGGGTTGCCAGATTCTTGTTGAGGTTCAGGATTCTTGTGGGGTTGAGGATTCTTGTTCTGTTGAATGATTTATGTTTGGTTTCAGAGATCTTGTTGGGTTGCAGGATTTTTTATGGCTTGCAGGTTTCTTGATGTGTTACAGTATTCTTGATGAGTTACAGGTTTCATGATGGATCACAAGTTTCTTGATGGGTTGCAGGATATATGTTAGGTTGTGTTATTGTTTTTAGGTGACAGGTTTCTTAATGGATGGCAGGTTTCTTGATGGGTTGCGGGGTTTCGTTTTGAGTAGCAGGATTTTTGATGGGTCACAGAATTCTTGATGAGTTGCAGAATTCTTGAAGGTTTGCAGGATTTTTTATGGGTTGCACAATTATTGTTGATTTGCATAATTCTTGTTTTTTGGTAGGATCCTTGTTGGGTTGTAGAAAGTTTGTTGGGTTGCAGAAATTATGTTGGGTTGCAGAAATCTTGTTGGGTTGCAGAAATTATGTTGGGTTGCATAAATCATGTTGGGTTGCATAAATCTTTTTGGGTTGCAGAAATCGTGTTGGGTTGCATAAATTTTGTTGGGTTGCATAAATCTTGTTGGGTTGCAGAAATCTTTTCTTATTTATAGGATTCGCGTTGGGTTGTAAAAATCATGTTAGGTTGTAGAAATCATGTTGGGTTGTAGAAATCATGTTGAGTTTCAGAATCTTTTCTTTTTTTTGCAGGTGTCACGTTGTGTTGTAGAAATCTTGTTGGGTTAGAGAAATCATGTTGGGTTGCAGAAATCATGTTGGGTTGCAGAAATCATGTTGGGTTGCAGAAATCATGTTGGGTTGCAAAATCTTGTTGGATTGTAGAAATCTTGTTGGGTTGCAGAAATCATGTTGGTTTGCAGAAATCTTTTCTTTTTGCAGGCTACTGTGTCAATGACATGTTTACTGATATCCTATGGGTCACTGTGTCAATGACATGTTTACAGTTATGTTTTGGGCCACTGTGTCAATGACGTGTTTACAGTTAAGTTTTGGGCCACTGTGTGAATGACATGTTTACAGTTATGTTTTGGGCTACTGTGTCAATGATGCATTTACAGTTATGCTTTGGGCCACTGTGTCAATGACATGTTTACAGTTATGGTTTGGGCCACTGTGTCAATGACATGTTTACAGTTATGCTTTGGGCCACTGTGTCAATTTTGTGTGCAATTTTTCTTGTTACAGTTCAGTAAATATGTGTTGCTTGATTCATGATGGGTTGCAGGATTCTTTTGGGTTGCAAAAATCTTGTTGGGTTGCAGAATTCTTGTTTTTGGCAGGATTCTTGTTGGTTTGCAGGATTCTTGTTTTTGGCAGGATTCTTGTTGGGTTGCAGAAATCATGTTGGGTTGCAGAAATCTTGTTGGGTTGCAGAAATCTTGTTGGGTTGCAAAATCTTGTTGAGTTGCAAAAATCATGTTGGGTTGCAGAAATCTTTTTTTTTTGCAGGATTTGCATTGGGTTGCAGAAATCATGTTGGGTTGTAGAAATCTTGTTGGGTTGCAGAAATATTTTCTTTTTTGCAGGATTTGCATTGGGTTGCAGAAATCTTGATGGGTTGTAGAAATCATGTTGGGTTGCAGAAATATTTTCTTTTTTGCAGGAATCGCGTTTGGTTGCAGAAATCTTGTTGGGTTGCTGTAATCATGTTGTGTTGCAGAAATCTTGTTGGGTTGCAGAAATGAAATCGTAATGGGTTATAGAAATCTTTTCTTTTTTTTGCAGGATTCGTGTTGGGTTGCAGAAATCATTTTGGGTTGCAGAAATCTTGAATTTTTTTGTAGATTCTTGATGGGTTGCAT